TCACCCACCTAGCTGCACTGAAACTATTTCAATTAATGTCTCACATTGTTCGTGTTATAATCTGGATTTATTTTAAATAGCTTAAAGCAAAATGTTTCACAAGCTTCAGCAAGGTCAAGAAATGCTTTGTATCAATAAGCCCATTCAATGAGCAGCTTTCGAGATTTCATCAATCCGAACCGATTGCGTCCAGAAATTTCTTTTTCGGGAAACCTCTTGTCCTCTTATCAGAGGTATGCGATCTGACCTTTTTTAGTCCTGGAGTGTTTCAAATTGTTGCCTTCTTTTAAAGAGCTTATATGTTAATGTCCCTTAAAAACACTATAGGCGGTTGACAACAGTTGTAGCGGAAAGACATCTATAAAAGTTGGGACACACAGCTGTTTCAAGCAAAATAGGGTCACTATTCCTTCCTCTTGGAACACAAACAAGGCCTGGCTTCCTTTGTAACTTGCTCAACACCCTTCTTTATGGAGCTTGATTCAGTGCACAGCAGAAGCTATGCCAGTGTATTTCTCTTAAAAGTGACAATTCAGTCAGCATGTTCAGAAAGCAAGGTCTATACTGATATTCCTTCAATCTGGAAATACTGATCGGGCACCTAGAGAGAAAATAGTTTATTCTATTACTGTTACTTTCAGCCTAATGATATGACAGAAGAGGACAGGTAGAGTAAAATACAAACATTCATTCATTCATGTAATACAGAAGGAAATGGATTTTCAAAAGCTGAAATGCTTATTATTCTCCAAAGCTGGCATTCCCACCACTCTTCCAAGCATAATACTGTGGTGCTCTCTGCAATGAAGCAACAAGATAAAGAAGACTCTGTTTACTCTTTGTGCATTACCCAGCCTGGTAGTTTGTTGTATTGTATTACCCAGTTAATAAGATAATGCAAGCTATTATAGGGGATTAAAAAGGACATTGTGAATCTTGCTTTTCTCACCGGATTGCTTTATGTTTCCCAGTGCACTTGTGAAGGGCTTCACACTCAAGTAAACAAAAAGAAGTAGGGAAATTCTTTTACAACACTGAAGTTCTTATTCTGTTACATGGATTGCATGTACATCCTGTTCTGCTCCTGGTGTGGTTGACAAGAGCCTATTTCCTCTGTCACTCAACCCCTATCATAAAAAGCTGGATTCATTCAGCGAAACCGGGAAGGAAGTAAACAAGTCAGGAGCCAAATATCCTGGACCTCGAAAAGGACACAGAGAAAATAAATCAAACTGAGCTACAGAAAGAAAACTGTGCCTTCTGCATGCAGTACAGAATACTGTACCTACATAAAGAAATCAATATACACTCTATGAAAAATGCACCAATTACAAACATGATCTGCTTCCTTCTTTCCACTTTCAACTCCTCTGCATACCATTTCTCACACTAAAACTGGACTTTCAAGGGTATCCATCCATGCTGCTTTACAATCTTCCAGTATAAGGGTTAAATTAAACCACATTAGATCATATGCAACATAAACACTTGATATTTGATCATGAATGTAATACACAACAGGTTTGTCAATTCCAAGTCAGTCCCCCTGAATTATCACAACAGCAGCTCCAGACCATAAGGCAATTGCCAGTGCAAGAAAGCAGGTGTTATATGCTCATCATTTTAGTTTTTGTTAAAATCCAAGCAGATGAATCCTGAACATGCTTGAATACACCTGCAAGCATTGCAATAGTCAAGGTGGTAAAAAGAAAGCATGCATTAGCCTTGTCTGCATCAGATTGTAAGAGATGTGTATGGAATGTGCACAATGTTATGAAGAATTAAAAAAAACACCATTCAATATTGAGACTGTGAGCTTAAAATTCAAGGCATAAGTCAAACATGAATCCAAACTTCCTTACCTAAGTAACTGGACTTATTTCAGGACCATCAACAGCCAAACTAAGATTGGAACATGCAGAATAAGAAGAGGTAAACTACATACTTTGTACTACATACAACCTTGTGAAAGCAGTGTCACAAGGCAGATATTGTTTGATTAATGTGAGGTTTGAAGAGAACATAAATTTGATTGTCGTGATGCCATATCTATGAAGAATTTAACCAAATGGTAACATATAAGCAGGCGGCATGGTGATGCAGTGGTAAGCATTACTGTCTTGCAGCTCTGGGGCCCTGGGTTCAATTCCAGATCTGGGGTGCAATCTGTGTTGCATTTGTATGTTCTCCCTATTTTTGCATGGGTAGCCATCGGGTGCTCCAGTTTCCTCCCACAGTGCAAAAGCCTACTGGTGCTTTAGGTTAATTGACTTCTGGGAAAATTGGCCCTGGTGTGTGTGTGTGTCTGTCTGTGTGGGACCCCCTGCAATGGACTGATGTCCCGTCTAGGAAGCCTGCTGCCTGCTGGGATAGACTCCAGCTTCCCTATGGCCCTACATTGGAAGAAATGGTTAGAAAATGCATGAATGGATGGTAACATTGTGTAAGGTTGACACAAAAAAATAAATGGGCTAAAAACAGACATTTGTGCTGATGCCTGGGCATGAGGAGAAATAAAAAATAAATAAGATTTAAACCATAACGAAACAGTTCCAGTAATTCCAATGACCCTCTCTACCATATTCAGCAAGATGTTATGATTAACAGTGCCAAAGGCAGCACTAAGGTCCAGCAGGACAGGAATGGATTAAAAAAAACTAGAGTCAGCAGATCATTAGCAACCCTAACGAGATCTGCTTCTGTAATATGCATTGATCTAAACCCAGTCTGAAGAGGCTCATATATCTTACTTGCAATAACAGGGGCTGGTACCTAATGGCGACCACCTAATCGAGAATTTTTTTCCAAAAGAGGCAAGTTTGATTGCGCCCTGCTTAGTCGGACATCCAGGTTAAATAGAAGTTCCATAAAAATGCAAAAGAGTATACCAAAAGACCCTTACACTTAAATTATTATTTAAAAACATTAAACTGATTTTATATACAGTTTATACAGTATACATTCTATTGTAACTGAATGTATTGTGATATTTTCTTACTCTTTTATTTCACATGCTTGGGAAGATATGTACAGTATGTAGAGGCCAAGTGACAGAGAGAGAGAAATTCCTTTTGTGCATGTCAATTTGTTTAAGAAGTGACAACTCTATCCCTTCCCATTTTAAACACACAATAAAGACAGTTACAAATAATTCTTGTTTATCACCCTTTACTAACACAGTTCAAAAACCCTTATCTGTGAATGAGAGGTGGTGGTACAGTACTTCCTACCCTCAGGGAGTGCTGTCTGCAAAGGTTTCACAGTGTTAGTATCAAACTGTCTTCTGCCTTTTGTCAAAAACAAGGCAATTTACACAGCTTTAGAACGTATTAAAAAAGTGTTTTGTAATAAGTAGGGTTGTGGCAGCTCTGGACTACTCCTGTGCAGTGGTGATGGTGTCTTGTTGGACCAATGTGCATATGAAGGCCTACAAAACCTGTACCTCAGACTCAGACTAATACTGAATATTTGTGCAGAGCAGCCATTTCACAAAAAGAGAGGCCTCCACTCCTCTTTACAAATACTGTATATCACACATCAAGTTTTTCTTCCTTTGCAAAGTATATTGCAAGTACAATAGAATTAAAACTATTAGCTTAAAACCATCTACAGCAGTGGACGCATCCCCTATTAATTCAAATGCACCACTGCATGAGCAAAGAACATTTAAAGTCAAAACGTGCATTTCAGATTGCTGTGATAGCCTACATTTGACCGTGCGCATTACGGTGTAAAACTGTCTTCTAGACATGTGGGTGGGCGAAGATGTGTTATGTTTACAATATGAAATAAGTCAGAAAGAGTATATACAGACATTATAACATATAATTTGTAAATTATCTCATCTTGGGAATGAGCCGTCTTTCTGTCTCCAGCATTAACACGTGGTACTAAGTGAAACATCTAATTATGATACAGTCTACATGGAATGTGTGTGCTCGTTTACCTTAAACTATAAAGTAGATAATAACCTAGGATAAGTTACAGTGAAGCGAGCCTACACTTTGCACACCTGTGGATTTTGCTTTCTCGAGATCTGCACAGGAACGGGGAATAGAATAGGTGCTTCCATAGAAACCATTCTGACCTATAAAATATGACTTTCGCGCACCTGCTGTCAGGCAGGTTTTGAGCGTTCCGGAGGGTTTATCTTACCGATCCTAATTTATTTTTAGGTAGCATTTAGAATACAAGCTTAATGGCTTCGAATACATTCTTTGCATACCATTACAAACAACAAATAACAGAGGTCCTCTGAAAAATGTAGCTAGTTGAAGTGATCGTTCATTATTTATTTTCCCATAAGCTTACTTATCGAGCCCCTGTACACGTTTTTATTTATTAAGTATTATTTTTAATGAAGTCAAACGCAGCGATGGTACCGGAAAGTCTACTAATGACTGACTAATTTGATGAGCTAACCCTCTGGTATCAAGTGCAGTACAGGTGGTTTTGCAAGCTGTTTTCAATGTTATCAGCTGACAGGACAACGGTAAACTAACCCCCACATCTTTCTCTTTAGAATTGTGTTATATACAGTATTAATACGATCATCACACTCTCTGGTAAATTCTATTTTTTAAATTCAGCTGCCGTCTTATAGCGACGCTGAAAGTTAAATAAAGGTTATGTGACAGCTCATCTTGCAACGTGGAGAAAGCGGAAAAGAAGTAGCAAATTAACATCTTTTTGCATAGACAACGAAAAAAATAAAGCAAAAATAAAACGAACAAACACATCCACTCCTGCCTTGAAGGAGAGCGAATTGATTCTCCTAACTATACCAGCTTAGCTGAAAATAAACATTAGTCTTGTTTCCTGTGTACCACCTGAAATGCTTACAGCGAAAGCTTAGCTACTCGAGATCCGTGCTTCTGCTCAAAACTAGCAAACGGAAATTAACAATATTTATACACCGATTTAACCGAGATGGTCAAAGTAATAAGAGCAACAAAATAGCACGGCCATCTTAATAATACAATCAAACAGCCGACACTTACCTGATGAAGAGTCTCGCTAGGTAGGTGGGATGCTCTGAACAGCTCTATCACTTTACTCGCTGCTAGTTTCCCTGAACTGTCAGCTTGGCACAAACTGTGCAGACCCGAGTAATATCTTTGTTCATTTTCACTCAAGGCAATAAAACTCCCTCCCGTCGCCGTTCCAGGTCCCTGATCCATTCCTGACACATTCAAGAAGACAGTTTCGGAGCTTCACCAGCTCAAAGATAAACAGGCCCCGATCCCCAGAGCGTCGCGTCTGGTCTAAAACAGTGGGGAAAAAACATACAAAAATAAAATAAAAAGAACACGTATCTGCAGTAGCAGAGTTTACATTTCCTTACACTGAGCGCAGTGTGGCGAAGTACAACATCAAGACGCAAGGTGGCGCCATTAGCAAAGAATCCCGAGTTTGACGTCAGCTTGCAAACTCGGAAAGCAATCTTGTAGCTGGTCAGTATCCGATAATTGAAGCGGCAGTAGATTCTTATCAATGAAGTTACGGTTGCATCGTTGACTTTTTTTCTGTCGTTGCCAAATAGGCGTAAAAGGTGTATGTACAGTATATACACTGTATTTAAGGTCTGTACTTTCAGGTGAAACTGGTGTAGACAGTTCGATAAACAGTTAATCTGGAGTAGTTTAGGGATTTAAAGACCACAATTATCTTCGTGAATTAAAAAAGATACATGTAATATAGAATGATAGCAAGCTGAATAAGCAGATGTAAAAGTCGCTCACTGTTGCAGTGGATTATTGCAGATCAGACAATAGGAATCTTGAGAATTTTGCCTGAAGTGCAGTACGACACGATCTCATTAACCCTGTTGCTAACCTTAAATCACCGTATGTTCCTTACGTGCTGTGTTTATATCGTATTAAGACGAACACATAAAACTATAGTGTTATAGAAAGCGAGATAACGTGGCGAACATCATCCATCCTGTAGGGAGGTGTAATTATTTTTCTATGTGTAATATTATCTAACCATGTTTCACAAAACTTCCCGAATTTAACTCAAATGTTCTGTCATCTTGAGAGCACAGAATAAATTCAGGACTTGATTTATTACAACCCCTGGCAGATATTGTGGTTGCTTGATTAGTAATAGGAATTATACTCTTACACTACAAAAAAATAATAGCTGTAGTTCATCTATGAGTAACCAGTTGAAACATAAATCACTCTAGTACATTTTAATTAATGTTTATCTTACCTCCAGCAGCTGCCTAAAACAAATGTCCACTTTAGGTCAAAAGCTGAAAGAAGCATGTGATCCGGCTTGCATTACAGTACAGTATGTTACAATGTTGGATAACAGGAAAAACGGCTATTGCAGCAAATACGTCTGGGTTAAAAAAAAAAAACTTCCTCGAGAACAACTACTGTAGTAAAACAAACGCAAGCTTTAATAGTCTGTATTGTTGAAAGGATGTCTGCTGTAAAGTGTTTTTAGACAAGTAAATTAATTTATTCACGCTACTTTGCAATGGTGACAGCTGGTCTACCCTTGAGGTTTGCATGTTTTTTGAATGACAGGTAAAAGAGTAACGATGTGCAAACCCGCGGTATACCAAGACAGAAATGCATCAATTAAAATACACATCCGTGAAGACGGATATATTTATTGCAGCACATTGTAGCGCTCTCAGGTTCACGTGGGTATGCTCCCTCGCCGCTGCCGCCTCAGGTCGGCCCCCCAACTCCTAGGGACTCGACCCTGGGCCCCCGGCAGCACTCAACAGGGACCCAGCCAGTTGAGCTAAAGGGAAATCTCCCGTCAGCCCGCCAGCTGTGGTCCCTGCTATTCACAGGGAAGGGCGGTGACGTCACCGTGCTGGGAAGCCGGCTCGCACAACTTGTAATGTCGGCCGTATGCGTTACAATATATTTCATTCACTATAGTGTAATGTACTTTTCAGAGTTCAGGTTAAAAAAAAAAACTTTACAAAAGAGAAATTTCTAAGAAATAACAAACAGACCAATGGAATAAACATGTTTTTTAAACATCACAAGTTTGAATTAAATTAGTAAAAAGCCCATGTATATTTTACCAGATTAACAGATTAACATGGGCCCAGATGGCTTTTAATTGCAACCTTGTTATCTACCTAATGCATTTCATGTTTGTAAGTTTTGTTTTTGCTTTTACTGGATCAAAAAAAAGTAACTATAACACTTCAGGGTTCACATGGGCACCCCTCACCACTGCCACATCAGGTCAGCCCCCCACTGTCAGGGACTCAAACCCAGGCCTCTAGCATCACTCAACAGGGACCCAGCCTCTTAAGCCAAAGGGAGATTTCTCTTTGGGTCAAGAGGCTGGGTCCCTGTTGAGTGATGCCAGAGGCCTGGGTTTGAGTCCCCGACGGTGGGGGGCTGACCTAATGCACCAGTGGCAAGGGTGCCCATGTGAGCCCCGAAGCATTACATAATGAATGCTGTCTATTGGAAATAATACGGGGTTGAGCGGTATGTATAAAAGATTAAGTAATGAACAATCATCTGGAAATCTTTAATTTCAGAGAACAGTAATAAAATAACTGTAGGGGGCGTCGTGAGCTTTAGATATACAATTCATCATTTTGAAATGCATGTTATTTTAACTTAACTTTCTGCCAGCATAACAAAAATCTTGACTTCCCGTATCACAGACTCGTTTTTATTAGGACCAGTATTTTATCCGAGAAAAGGGACAGCAGTTAGAAAACACAGTGGAGATCTGAAAGCAAACGTTAAACAATTTCTTGAAGTTACAAAATATAAAAATAATTCAAGTTGTGTAACCTTTACTAAAATCTTGAAAAGCCATTTAAAATACTGCCAAATACTTTGTTTTAGGAGTGTCAGACTAGTGTAACTCTTAAACTTGTTAAAACTTCAATTTTTTAAACTTTTTTGTAACACCCATGTACTGCTTTTAATGACTTGTAAGAATGTTAGCATTTTTATCACAAACAGAAAACACTGGTACTGTAGATTATTCTTAATATGTTGTAAGGACTTTTTGCTGCAGTGAAATCTTGACTGTGGTATTGCTGTGTGATTTGATTAATTGAATACATTAAATACTCCTCATTAAGCGGAGTGCGTTATACCGCCATTTTGACGGAACGAGTGCTAGGTGATGAATTACTGCCAGTAAATGAGCTGTCTCACAAAGCTGTATTATTGAGCACAGAAATAGTCAGTTTGGGGTTCTTGGTGGCTCAGTAGGTTGAAGAAAAAATACATTGCAAGAGGAGCCAGACTCTGAGAGAAATTAAGTCGGTTCAGTGCTGAAAATAGAAAGGGACAATTTATTAAGCGTTCAAAAAAATATATATAAGAAAGCTTTTGGGACTCCAGTCAGCATGTCAGTAGTTCAGCAGATCTTTGTAGATCTTTGTTTTCTTGAATTACTTTTTAGGAATAAATAATAAAATGTTGATTTAGAAAGAATATTGCTTTAGTTACAATTGCAAAAGCATTAGAATCTGTTCCAAGTAAGGGCATCTGTTCTCCCATAGACATATTATACAGTACATACATTTAAAGAAGTCTAATAAAAAAAACATGTCATTCGTTAGGCGATGATGTCCATAACATAGACCTGACGTAACATTAGCTTTGAGATCAATATATGTCATTAGTTCTAATGGAATAGTTCTAATAAAAACTGTGATGCATTGTAAAATAAACAGTAGCTTGGTGCAAAAGAAACTCTTGCACTTACTTCTCAATGTTTTGTCTTAAACATCGAGGGAACTTAGTGACTGACTAAAAGAGTACTCTATCTCCATCTCTAAATCATACCAATGTTAAACTAATTGTGTATGTTGACTGTTATACAATCTAATTCCTACAGGAAAGACACAAAAACTATGATAAAAAGTAATTAATTTGCTAAATTAACCGAATTATCTTCTGATTAAACTCCTCTAGCTTCTTGCCTCTAATGTCCTTACAGGAAGTAATGTCTTGTGCTTCCTTATTTCATTTGATAACAATTAAATTATTGTTCTTTATAATTCAATTATGGTTTACTTGCCCCTACCATACTCCAATAACAATCTCATTTACTTTTCACTATACAATGTTTACTGCAATACGTACTCAAAGTATTACAAACCAGCAAAAGAAGGCATATCATGCAAGTAATTTATCTTACATTATGATAATTATTATTATTAAAGATTGGGTCCACAAAAAATAGTCTTTCTGAGAAATACCTGTCTTGTGCTTGCTTGATGAAATATCTTAGTCTAGCCAAAATGTCCAGTAAACCCCCAGACATCTTGCAATTTGATGTCATAGAAACCTGATTTGTCTTATTGAAATATGGTGCACCAGGAACAAAATTAAGCATCAAACATTTGATTTGGGTCGTCCAATTAAAAAAAAAAATCTTAATGTATTCTTTAGGATAAGGGGGCATTGCTGTTAAGAAAGATAGCTCCCATTTTTTTTAATCCTTTTTGTGTAAATGTTGGATTCTAATAAGTTTTGTAACTTTAAAAAAGTAGAATAAGACAAGGAACACATAGCAAAAAAAAATATTGAAATTATTGTAGTGCTGTACATATTTATATGGATTCATTTTATAATAAACAGTACAGGCTACTATAGTTGTATATTGGTATGTCTGTTTCCATTTTTTACTTTGGAACTGGTAAACAGAATAAAACACACACTACTACATGCATGAAGGATATAATGTGTATTAGATAATTTAGGAGGTTGGTAAAAAGCGACGGGTATGACATTTAATTATTTGCATCACTTTTAATTTGTCTGTGACTGTATATGTCTAACAAGGAGGTTGTATTTTAAACTTTCATTTCACTGTTACCTTTATACTGATTGCCAGATTTAATAAAAGCTGAAATGAGGCTGCAGAAATGAACTCTCAGCAAAAGAAAGAGTTAATATCCAGTCCTGGTAAGGAATTAATAGTACCACAGGACACTGATTTTCAGGCTAGTTTAGTTAGTTAAGATTGCCTCTTCTTTCTAGGTATGCAGAAAAACACATGACAAGAGAAATGGAATGTGATTTAAATTCTGTTCTCATTACATGAAACAGGTTTGACAGTTATAGCACGGTCCCAAGGTTACAGAAAAGTTAAAGTTTAATCAGTTGATGCATGATACTGGCAGAAAACACAGAAAATATACAGTATTTGTTTAAAATAAATAAATTTAAGGTCGGTGTAAAAGGATTATACACTTTACATGCTTGATGAGGAAGCAGAACACAAGATCAATTTACCAAAGTGTGGAAGAAGTAGGGATCAACAGATCACCTGATGGGCAGTCCTTTTGTTTTTTTCTGTATTAGTGGAATCAATTCTCAGTATTCAACACAATATGCCTACATGTATTTTGAGTGACTTTGTTACAATCAACAAGATAAAAGTAAAGCCTTCGTGTTAGGGGCACATAGGCTGCAAAATATGCTGGAAACTCCAATATCTTCAGGGTATCATATTGTTCTGAATAAAAACAGATTACATCAACTTGTGTGTTTACCAGATAATCTGTCTATCCCAGTCAATCTTATCAGCCCTTGCTTCTGCACAGGCAAACATGTCCTTTTTTGCTTTCTATAAATGCACGTTTTTCAAATCTAATTAAACACGCCCTTCTAGGGAAAATGAGCACATCAGAAACCTGTTTGCACATATTCAGAGGTTGCCATGTCTCAGTCAGGGTTGTATGAGCCTGGGTTAATAATTAAACCCTTTCTAAACCTCCCCTTTTATATTTTCGATCCCACACTGTTCTAATCCTTGGCCACACTGAACTTAACATTGCCTTGGATATTTTGCTCTCTTCTTTTCACACTTGGGAAGGATGCTAGCGGGACTCTTGGTTTTGTTGATCTTAATGCCAGCTCTTGCAGTGGCTGCGTGTGAACCCAGTAAGTAAATCTGTATCATCTTCTAAAAGGAAACACATTACAATTGACATTTTTGGGGATATCATGTTCTTTTGCGAACCAGCAGTTTCTGGGCCTCCTAAGTTGATGCTGAAGTAAAAAAATATGTATAAACTTATTTGTTTTGCAAAGAACATAATTAAACATTATTGAATGTATTGAATAATTATTGAAGAAAACGTATTTGGTTTAATGTGATTTTTTCCAGTGCATTTTCACTGTTACAATTATTTTGGCACACAAAAAGTTTTGGGATAAGAAATCTGATGGGAAATAAATGTTAATTTGGTTCAATGTCACTTTATCCTGGGAGATCTATGTAACAGAATCCTTTAAAAAGGCAATTCCCTTTAAGAAACCCTGCAGAACACCACTTCAGTACAGTGTACAACTTTAGATAATGAAATGAAAAAGCATACAGCTACCCTGGACCAGTTTTTAAAATCAAAGCATACGTATGGATGCTCATCCACCTTTGTGTTTTGAAATATCCTTGAAAAGCTTGAAAATGTTCTGTACATATGTTTGCATAAAATAGTGTTTCTTTCTTTAGATGGACAAGATGCCTACAAAGTGCGACTTAGTATCAAAACAGCTCTTGGGAAAAATGCAGTAAGTGTTTTAAAATAAAATAGTTATTGCTAGTGTGTGCTACTTTAGTTGTGTATTAGGACAGCTAGTTCAGCTGGAGCTCCTGGGCACTGAATGAAAAAATAAAGTAGTATTAGTGAGTATGAGAAAGTCTGAAAGGAGTTTTGTGTTTACGGGACCATGTCCATGGCAAAGAGTTTAATGCTATTAAGTAGAAAAGAGTCAGGGAGTAGGTGGTTTGCCTGCCATGAACTTTTTTTTATAAATCAAACTGCAAATACATTACTGTAGCTGACAAATGTGTACATCATTCACAGCTGAAGTATTTTTTCACAGTATGAATGGAATGAAAGTGAACTGTTCTTATTCAGAGCAACTCTTGCATTTGCGATGAGAAGATACCTCAACAAAGAAAATTTCAAGTAAGCAAAGTACCTTACAATTTTCAGATTTCTTTCTAATCTTTTCTCTTTATTTCCTATTATCTCCCGTAGCTCAATAAACTTTTTGAATTGATGAGCTACTGAAAAAAACAAACAAAGGTAGCACGATGATGCAGTGGTTAGCATTGCAGCCTATTTGGGGTGCTATTTGTGTGGAGCTTGCATGTTCTCACTGTGTTTGCATAGATTTCCTCCAGGTGCTCTGGTTTCTTGCCACTGTCCAAAGACATACTGTTAGGTTAGTTGGCACCTGGGAAATTAAGCCCTGGTGTGGCTGTGCCTGCCCTGCGATGGACTGGTGTCCTGTTCAGGGTGAATCGTGTTATGTGCCTGTTGCTTGCTGGGATAGGCTCCAGCTCCCTCATGAGCCTGTGTTGGATAAAGTTGTTAGACAATGGGTGGATGGATTGATTAAAAAAATGAATGAGCTAGACAATACAAAAGAACAAGAGAGATATACGGTAGATTATTTAAATCTCCACATAACAATTCTTGATTTTGTAAGCCGGCTTGCCTGAATGCTGCAATGTTACTGCACCTTAAAGGATGAGGCAAAGATGCTTATTCCTATTTTCACATTTACGCCACATAAAGGGTAATGCACATCATAATATTTGTTTAACCTGATAACACCACTCAGTCAAATAAAAGGCGTTTTCCAATATGTTTGGTTTTATAGAAGCACTATTTGATAGTTGAGTCAGAAGAAGTAGAGGAACTGTGAACAACAGGGATGGATTTCAGCCTGTTTATTTGTGTTTCATGTGTCTGCATATTACAGTACATTTTCAGTTTCTTCATTGATTTTTCTGTGCTTTCCAAATGGCATCTACAACTCAGGGACAGAAGACGGCAAATCCTCGCAAATAATGCTAAACCATTCTAGGTCTTGACAATAACATTACAATGTGTTGGGTGAAAAATAAAACGAGTAATACAGAATTGGACATGAATATTAGAATCAGACACATCACACAGTTCCATGTTGACTAGAGGTACAACCACAGTTTCCATTTGTCCTAGATTCTGGGGACGGTGGAGATACGATTCACACATTATTTAAAAAGTCTATTTGTTTATGGCAGCTGAAGACATTTTAAATGCTCTGATATACTAATTGTTTAATTAAAATCCAAAGTTACAGAGTTTTAAAGGGTATTAGGGTTTATATTTCCAATAATAAATAATACAAAAAAGCTTTATCTGGCACATTTGACAAGGTTCTTCAGACACTGTATATACAAATCAAATTATTTGTAATGAAATTATATAATAAATGTAATTACTGTATGAAGTAGCAATTTAAATACTCCTTACTCCTTCCATCCATAATTCTTAACTGCTTCATCCTAGAAAAAAGGGCCGCAGTAAATTAAAACAAAACCTCTCCTGGAGACAGAGGATCCCACATTTGAAACCAGCCTGGGGACAATTTGGAGACATAGACTAAAAGAAACAGCATGTCTTCAGAAGGTGGCAGGAAATCAGAGTGCCTTGTAAAAAACAACATGAATATCGGAAGAACGTGCAAACACCACCCAGTAGGGTTCCCTGTTCAGAACCAGTGTTACGCCCCCCATACTTAGCGTTGGGTGAATAAGGTTTAACTTTGTGCACTTAGTTTTGATCTTGTTAATCTCCTAGTTGGGTGTGATTTAAAGGAGGTTTCTCACTGTATGATCTCTTTTTCTGGGTTTTCAGTGTTTCAAGTGTCATTGTTTGTAAAGAAACTCCCCGAGTCTCTTTTTGGTTCGTGATAACGGACCCTGGAAATACGTCAAAGCTCATCCCCAGAACGGATGTGGAACATGCTGTGAGGTACAGTAAATTATCTCTATTGTCCTGGAAATGAGTTATATGATGCCACTTGAAAAAATTGGTCATTTTTATGATGACCTTTTAGAAGTGTTGAATGTCAGCGTTTGTTTGTTATGAAATAAAAAAAATGCTTGCAAATCAAATCATTTTTAAAGATAATTTTATCAAAAATTTATATGAACAGTTTTGAATGAAACAAAATTCTCCATACTTTGCGTTTGGTCTCATGACAACCTGGTTTTTAACAGTTCTGTATTTGCTCTGTTCTTCCTTCTATCTGTAGTGAGGCTTGTGGAGAAATACTGTAGTTGTAGGTATTAGTCATTGGTTTTCAATTTCTCCCATTTGAACCTGGGCTGACCTTCTCTAAAACATGTATGTACCAGCTTTTGATAAAAATATGAGGTTATATAAAGTTTTCATAGCTCTAAGTCTGTAAACAGAAGCCTCAAGGCAAACCTGCCTACTTAAGTTAGACAAAACCATTTTGAGTTGTTTTATATTAAAATTTTAATGCTGCATAAATAAGCTCTTTCTTCACAGGATAAAGCTTTGGCACAACAGAATTATTGTATAAATGAAATATCCTTAGCCTAGGCATTGTTCCCATTTAATTAGTAATATAGTGGTTAACTCTCTGCACACCACACCAGAAGTTTATGAGTTCAAACCCCTGCTGAGATGCCGGTGATGTAAATTTCGCAAGGGTTTTATATCACATTGTTCACTGCCTGAGTCTCCATGTTGTAGATGAGAATATGTTCAACATGGACTTACCCTTTAAATAAAGGATTAAAGAAATGTTAAACATAAACAGCTGATACAATTTATTGTTATTCATTTTTTAACCTTACCAACTGAAATGTTTTGAAGATAATATTAATTTAGACAATATTAATAGAGACAGGACTTACTGTATATGCTTTGAGAAGTTAAATGAAAATATCTCTGAATCATAACATTTCTTAGACAAATCAAGTGTTTGGCATAGTTGTATAATAAAATCTATTCTAATGATATAAGGTTGCTATACATAGTACAGTATACAACTTAAAAGAGAGTAGAGAGTAGAGGAGTTTACTGCCATATGCACATGTACTGTACTTTGGAATTCTTATTCAAGGTGATCTCTTGGGACTTACACAGTACAGCAGACAACACCACACAATGTAGGCAGTACATTACAAACATAATAAATAATAACAACGAAACAATAAATATGCAGAAAGAAAAAAGACATAGTAGACCATGCAAAAAGTTTATAGTGCAGAAGTGCATTTAGTCTGGGGCATTGCAGTTACAGTAGCTGTTAAGAATGTGCACTGCAGTAGGGTAGAAGCTGTTCTTTAGTCTAGTGGTCTGTGCTTTAAAAGTGCGGTACTGCTTGCCATAGGGCAGGGGTGAGAACAGTTTGTGGCAGGGATGGTTGGGATCCTAAATGATCGATTGGGCTTTATTTCGACACCGGAGGGTGTGAATCTCACTGATTGATGATAAATCACATCCTATAATCCTCTGTGTTCAATTAACAATCACTTGTACAAATTAAGGGGCAAGGGCTACTGTAGGTTAATCAGGCCTGATAATATCACTACCATTTTGGCTTCTAGTAGTATCTTCAGTGTCTGAAGTCTGGACTGCTCCAAAACATGGTGTTACAGGATCGTGTTAGGTTAGGAATTAGGTTTGGGATTTCTGTCCCAGAGGGAAGAGTGCCTCCTGTTGGCCACATCTAGAAGCAACCGGATTGCCCTTAAAAGAGCTGCAGACTATTATATTAATAACTAACACATCCTTCACATTATCATCCTGAACAAAAGTCACAGATTATTTGTTCTCATGATTTACCATTATATAAAACAAGAGCAGGAGGCAAAACTGCTGAGAGTGTACAAACAGCAGGGAAAGCTAATATATCTGACCTGACAAGAGCCGAGTTTGTGCTGCAGTTGGTGAGCCAGCTGTTGCAAAGCCCATGAATGCCCACGAAAGTGCATTTTTCATGCCAATGTTCTGTCAGGCCCGTCTTCATAGTCCACACCTGCCTGTTTATCTGAACTAACGGCTGAGGATAGAACTGATTTTGTGTTGTGATATGTTCATGATCTATTGCCCCGACTACCTCTGTTGGTAGCATGAGCATGAAACTCATAATCTCAGGGTAGTGGGTTTGTGTCCCATGTCAGGCGCAAGGTTCTCTAATAACCCATACTGGGCAGCAGCAGTATGGGGCGGTGTTGGCGGCGGAGGATCACGTTACCGTGGCAACGGCAACAACACTCGCACTATCTGCGCGGAAGAAAGGCCTGGCAATCTACTTCCGTATCGTGCCATGAAAACTCTATGGATAGTGACTGGGGAACAATCCATAGGGCCGTCAACTCGACGGCACTCATCCCATTCCATCCCATGTTCATGATCTACACATATTCTGTAACACCCTGTAAATAAAGGTATTAAATTTATTGTATACATTTATGCAGCAGCTACATATGAAAGCATTTTTTTTCCTTAAATTGATAGTTGGTCATGTTTCATAACTACTTTAACGTAAGTGTAGTTCTGATTAAGGTATTGCCAGGCCTTTAGCTGTAATTTATTGCATTCAAACTGCTGATTTCTTCACCTGATAGAGTGCTGAACCTCAAATTTCGTTCCCTAGGATGTCGAGGAACCGTATCAATAGTGCCTTTTTACTGACTGATAAAACCCTGCAGTTTATTGGCATTCCTCCAACGATGGCGGTTCCCCTTGAGCCTGCGACACAGCCCTGGCTTATCGTCTTTGGGGTGATCATCAGTTTGGTCATGGTTGCCATCTTAGCACTCATTATACATGGAGCCATACAAAAACGAAGGTAAGTAGCCACTTTCTCTTTTTTTCTCGCCTGTGCTGCCATCCATGTCCACGCACTTTAAACACAAAGAAGAGAAGCCATCCATCTGCCCATCCAGTTTCTACTCTACTTACTCTGCCAGTACAGGGTCGCAGGGGAGCCAGAGCCTATCCCAGCAAGCAACTGGGGCGCAATACAAGATACGCCCTGGATGAGATGTCCATCAGAGGACACACACAGACACAAACACACACACTCACACCAGGTCCACTTTACAGAAGCCAGGACACAGTCCTTGTAGATTAATTCATCAAGCCTTTTTTGTTTGCAGTACAGAAATATATTTTCCTCTGCCTCAGTTATTTGTCATCAAATTCTAAAAAAATGTGTTTACATTGACATATGGCATCTTTTCTACTTACACAGAATTTCAGTCTCCCTGTTCAGCATTAAGTTCTCACTATAGAACATTTTATTCTGCTTACACAGTGTTATCTTCTCCCTACAGTATAGCAGTGCCGCTAATGATAAATGTGTGAATTCTTGACCATTGCTTTGAAGTCTGATTTTGTGAATACCATACCTTTCTGTCTGTGCCTTTCTAAGACACTAATTTTGCTCCGAGATATCAGTGCTCTCATTTTGGATGTTCCATCCAAGGCCTCTAGCTGTGCGTCAATGAAACGAATGGTGACAAGCTGTCCCCCTTGAAATGTCCTCTGTCCTCCCTGAACGTTCAGAGTGTGTTTTCTCACTGTTACCCTGTATGCCAACTTTCCCCATTAGCTAATGTTGATTCTTTAAAGACAATCTACAAACCTGCAGTGTTTTTCAATTTTAATTTAAAAAAACATATTTTAAACAGAATAAATGAAAGAGAATTTTTGGTACAGTAAGTAATTATTACACGTTAGCATCATTCAGGCATTATAATTGCATTTTGTTCGAGGCTTAATCATTGGCTGATGGAGTTACCCCTTACTCATGGCTGTCAAGTTGGTGTTCTCTAGCATGTGTCTTATTTCGAATGTAAGAGAAGTAGTCACTTTGGCTTCAAAGATCATGGTGTCAAGAAATATCTTACAGGTAAAAAAATGTGTTCGTTCGCACTAAAGATTTCAGTCCTGACAAGTGCTGTTCCATTTAAAGGAAAAACAGACTCTACTGCAATGTACACTTATCACAAACTGACAATGGTTTAAATTAAGGCCTCCTACCTCCCTGTTAGAAACCCAGCCATTTGTTACTTGATAAGAATCTACTTGTAGATAAAATTCAGAAATAAACGCAGGTGAAAAAGTACAACCAGTACTAGTCTAAGGTTCATGTTAGTTGTTAAACACACCCTTTGTTTAAAAAAATATGCCATGTAAAAAAATCCATGTGACTTATCTGCTACATACAATATGTATTGCATATCTCAAGTCTATGAGTGATAAATAAAATAAAAAACATATTTGTACAGTATGTACAGGGAGACATTGTTTAAGACGTTTTAGTGCCAAATAGACTTCAGGTTACCTGTCTACACTTAACATTGCCCTTGTGGTTTCCCTGGGCACAGAATTTTATCAACCTCCTTCTAATGAATTCAATTCTCAGTTAAGATATACTTTTATTATGTAACAAAAGCTATTGTAATGATAATCTCTTTTTCTATCGTGTATCAGATTCATTTTATGAAAATGGATGGCATTAATAGAGTGTCAATTTAATAAACACCAAAAGAATAGGAAAACAAAACAAGGAAACTCAAATAGGTTTCACACCTCATATTTATTTCAATTCCTGCCTAGGAGAGGAAAAGCAATTTCTGACGAAGAGGAAGAAAAGGAGGAAGAAGAAAAACAAGGACAAATTACTGAAAATGGTATCCACTGTGAAGTCACTGATGGGAAAGAAGGAGTTCACAACAGAGGCTTTCATCAGGAGGATGAAAGATTGACACAGCTCTAGAGATGTCTTCTAGGCATGAAATGTACTCTGCAGCAAATAATTTACTTTCATAGGCATCAGGTTAGCGGGAGCTCATCTCAAGGTGTCAACTGAATGTTGTACTGTACAGAAAGTTCAGTTTCACATATCTGTTCATTTTCAAAGTCACATACAGTATGTGATAGCATTACAGTACATCATACGTAAACTGTTTTTTACATAAAACATGGATAATTGAAATGTTAATGTAATATTGCAAAGTATAAAGAAGGCACTTAATACGCCTTTTGTTTTTTATTGCTATTGTTCCTGTAATGTCCCCATTTAACTGCTGTACCTGTACTTTCCATATACTGTACTGTACCCATATATGGTTAGATGCTGTTGTTATAACTACAGTATGTGGACTGCATTACATTACCGAAGAGAATAGCATTAGGATTAAAGAAGATCAGTGCAGAAATGCTTCTTATCATTTAAATGACTTCCTTGAATATATCACCAGTAATGCTATAGATGACTTTTTCAAACATAAAGAAACGTGAAAGGTTATATAACATGTAACTAACAAATTACAACCTTGAACTATTTTAATGTACCAAACTTAAAACACCAGAGGGCACCACACTTTATGTTAAACATCAGTTAACTGTTCAGTACAGTGACCCTGATATCTATATTTCTCGCTAGCGCAGCATTAATAAAACAATTGCAGTTAATAAAACAATCTACACAGTTCCCCATCCCACCAAACCTAGAGTTATTGGGTAATCTTGAGCTGTTTCCAGATATTGCTTAAGTAAACTGATAATACAAAAAGCTTAAAGGAGGCATTTTAGCTGTTGTCATCAAGTCATAGTGTTGCTTTATTATTTAAAGTAAAGCTATTTCATTTACTTGTTCATTAAATACTGTAGGTCTATTGTTTGTTCATTAATTGATGTCGGTCACTGCTCCCTAAGACCATACAGCTTACTATGCGTTTTGAGTTCAGCTATACTGTAGATGTTACAAGCTTTTATAAGGTATACCAATGGGGTAGTAAACAAATCCCAGGTAATCAGTAACAATCTACTTTATAATAAGAACCTCTTCTTACGATATTTAATTTAAACAGTCTTAAACAGAGCCAAGGGTGTCCAGTCCTGGTCCTGGTGGTCTGCTGTGTTTGCAGGTTCTTTAGGTCTCTTTAAAGCAGCACCACCCACCCCAAAGAGCTGGCAGAAGCTGTTCAGGTGGCCCAGTTAGGACAGTAAACGCTGCTTTAGCTTGTTGGAATGAAAACCTGTAGCCACACCTGACCTGGAGAACCAGGATTTCAGAACCCTGGTTTATGAAATGAAAGATGATAAAAAGCAGAATTTCATTAAATGTCAAGAAATTAAAATGTCCTTCTATAACTGATGAATAAAGGGTACATTTTTATTTTGAAAAACTTCATTTTTGAACCTTCTCCCAGAACTACTGGATGTGATTTTATTGTATCTTCGATTTATGTTGCAGAAAGTGTTGTTTAAAGCTCAAATAAATTAAGTAATACAGATGATTTCTTTCAGGAAGAAGGATAAGTCTTGAGACATTGAGCAATTTATAGCCTGGATAATAATTAAAATACTGTGTTTGAGCATTGGCAAATCTCCATTATATTTTGCAAGTGTTTGTCGGTGTCATTGCAGTCTATGGTTTGGAAAAGTATGAAGCACCAAGGAAACTCATGACAAGAAGTTGGTTCTAGACAAGTTTCCCTTGCTACTCAAAAGTGTACAAAAGGACAAGAGAAAAACCACTATGTAAACTGTTCAGGAACAATACTGGAAATCATGCATGTCTGACGATGGTATTTAAAAAAAATATATATAAAGGAAGCCTTTAATGCCTGACTGGCCTGTTAAATATTAACCACAAATTGAGCATATTACAGTACTTCTCTGTAATGTGATTGAAGGGAAAAACATGTCAGATCCAAATGGTATTGTTTTTTTTGCGGACATCTATTACCTTTCCAGAGAAATATAAGCTCGGTTTAAACTAAATTATTTAGAAAAAGATATAATGTGGGCTTTCTGGGGAGAGTGGACTACTTACCAAGTGTTTATGCTTTTCCACAAATCAGAATTGTAAAAATGCTGTGTTTAACACTTAACCATGGACCTTGGCCCTTTTAAGAAATGTCACTCATTACTTATTCAACAGAAAAGGTTCAAAGGGCTATTGCACACTTATCTGCTAAACCAAGGAGTGACAAATCTACAACACTCAAGAGTGTTTGTTCGATAAAAATGTTCTGAAGTATAAGCCTGATGAGGAAATAGAAACCCTAGATATACCGTAGATTGTAATCAAGGCCTTCAGGAACTCATACTGCAACCTCAATCATTTTTACAGGGTGTGAGCCATGACTTTCTCCATTGAGCCAATTTCTCCATTGTGAATAACAAAACAAAACTGGCTCCATTGTACCAAAAACTTTGATTTATGCCGTCTTCAGCATTACTAAGAGAGTATATTTCAGTATCACTAACAGAAGCCCTGTTTTTTCTCCTAATAACGTAACCCCAACCATGATCATATACTGTATCTAGCTGGGCACTTTGTACCAGGTTGTATCTTTTTGTATTCCACAATGCGTACTGTACTAATCTCAGAATGAGTACACACTCTAACACAGCATAAAATCTCTGCTACATTATAAACATTCTTAAAAGGATGATTGTCTGTTTTCAGTCGTTTCACTGGTTGTTGTGGCTGAATTAGCCTGATGAAAGAGTTCCTCCAAGCTTTAGCACTTGCTGTAATCCATGTCTATTTTCCCTGTCTTGGCTCTGAAACTGCGGTTGTCCAGTTCTCCACGGGAGCTCAAAGGGACAGGTTTTTACTCTTCAGCCCATGTACAGGGCCCACAGTTCTTTTCCAGCGCTCCTTCGCTGTAGTATCAGTTAAAAAAATTCCAGTTATTTCAAACAATGTCTGTCACAGCCTCTGTGACTTTCCTCCATTACGGTGATGGTCTGTCTGCACTTAAGGAAAATATTATTTCAATTTAATTGAGATCTGTGTATTCTCTGTTTTCATCTCATGTCTCCGTGATTTAACTGAGACATCTTGTAATAGTGAAACTACAGAACCTAAAATAGAAAGGTTGACACCAAGGTTGACACCAGATGTTGGTGTGTTAGACACCAACATCTTAGACATGGAACAGACTGTCTGAAAGGAGGGAAGTTACATCCTCACAAAAACCATATACAATTGGCATGATGTTTAAGAGTTCCAAAAAGTCATTATTATTATTAATATTATTGTTGTTATTATTAACAACAACAACAATAATAATTAACACAAGAGCTGAAAGGATTAATTGTGGAGGCTACTGATTATGCAGTGCACAATGCAGTGCACTGAACAGGTGACAGTAAATACTTTTTTTTACTTTCTCAAACTTATAGAATTGATTTAGTTATTGACTTTTTACCAGCATGCTTCGATACAGATGGATTTTAATTAGCTGTTTGGAACATTATAAATCAGAACCACCCAGAAGAACTTGTAATTTTGATTTGTGTCAAAGCACCCAACTGTGTCCAGCTGTGTTGCTGTAATTTGGACTTTTCAGTGAGGTATAGTTATACATTGACAAGTAACATGGTGCATAATATAATCTTTTTATGAAGAACCATACTGAGTTATGATGTTGTAAAACAAGCATTAGTCACCATGATTTATGGGGTATAGAAAAATTAACTATGACCGCTTTATGACATTAGAAAGATTTTTAATTTAACTTGAAGTATATAAATCTAACCAAGCCTAACCAATTGTGAAGAGTGTACCCCCTAACCAATACATAAGAAGCTCCTTTACAGGCTTATAGGATTTAATCATCTTAAATAAACTTCTTCATTTTCAAAAGTAACAAGTTTGCAACTGATCCCTTTTCCAGCAGGAACAACGCTTGTTATTCAGAATCAGTCAGGCTACAGAATAAACCATTCAATCAATTTGTGGTGTCAAAGCGAATACAAAAGAAATTTGATCCTTTTGACCCATCCATGTCTTGTTTTCATCTTTATGATTTCATTGTCAGGGATCAACAATTGCTATATTTTAGGATTGAAAAGCAAATTCATGATGAGATAAGAGGGCAGCTGCCAGTGTTTTGGGTCCTTTAAGGGATTTCACAACATCTCAGCATCTCAAAAGACAGAAAACGTACTTGTACCTTAAATAAACCGGAGAAAATAAACTGAGAAACTGTGAAAGGATAAACACAGAGGGAAATACAATAGGAAAGGTGAGGACTGAATGGGCGGAACAAGATGTGCATCTGGGTTTATAATTTACCAATAGAGCTGGTTGATCAAAGCTCACCCTATGGATTATGACCAAGTTCAAAGGACGGTATGATAACTAATTTGATAGCACGTCAAACAAGACATTTTTCTGTGGTAGTGCTTCTTTGGGTTTTGACTGCAGAATGTCTGTCCATCTTCTGTTAGTGTTGATTGTGGCAGTTGCTGCTGCTGCCCAGTTAACTGAAGGGGATGCTGCAGTGTTTTTGGACGAATTTGACAAGAACGCTACCCATCTGACGTACCTGAACTCACTGGCATCATGGGAATACAATACTAACATTACTGAGGAAAATGCAAAAAAGATGGTAAGTAAACGTCAAAAACTGAAATACAAAGAGCAGTCAATTTTCTACAGTTTAATGTGCAAATCAGAATCTAAGGCTCTGTGGTCATTTATGTATGTGTTTTTACTTGCAGTATCTACTGTATGTATGAATTTCCAAGAACATAAGAAGACAAATGTAAGAAAGGTTACAAACAAGAGCAGGCCACTCAACACATCTAGCCAGACTGCTAGCCAATTTCATTAATTTTACTATTAAAAATTTAATTCAGAAACCTTAAGTTATTTTTGGTTTTGTAATATTTCTGTTTATCAGATTATGAACTAATTACTGCTGGGGTACATCACAAACTGTTTTTTTTTTCCCAAAACAAAATACTTTAGTGAAAGTATACTTAATATACTGTACTTCATATAATACTTTAGTCAGTGAAAGGTTGACATCTAACTTTGACATCCAGTTTTAATATTTGACTCATTGTGGGTGATCTCTCCCAGTGGATAGTAACAACATCATTTAAAACTGGACTACACCCCCTGAAAGTTTCAAAGAGAAAAAACTGTAAAAGGTGCTGCTTGGAGTATCTAGAATGTGTAACACAGAGTGCATTTAGACTGAAGAAAAACAAAGTACACTTTATTTTCATTGTTAGACTAAATGGGAGTATCTTCCCAAAAGATATTTTTGTGGGTGCAATGAGTCAAGATTCCCAGTGAGAGGAACACCTTAGATTTATTGGGCCAAGTTAATTCTTAAGGTACTGTATACAGGGAGCTTGCTTCCCTGTGTGGTATTCTGTGAATACTGTACCTTGACTGTTCATCTCCTGACATTTGTTAGTGTGGTGTGAAACAAGGTGACTGGAGAGATATTTTGTGATTCTTGGGCACTAACTGCCTGCTTGAGTAATGAAGCAGATTAAATTGAAGAGCCACTCTCAGTTTTAAAACAGGAATGCAAGACTGGTTTGGTTAATCTATGGACATGCAGTATATAATCACACTGAATTTTGAGTGCTGAAACATATTCATATACAGTACATAAGACTTTATTAATATTCGCTTCAACATATTCCGTCTCCAGATTGTGAGATGTATAGTACATTGTAATTTAACGGTGTGTTAATATCAAGTCAGCAGCCATATCACTCTGCAACTCACAGCTGGTAACCCACTGAAGCTATGCAGGTGTGAGCCTGGTCAGTACCTGGATGAGAGACCTCCTAGGCAAAACTAAGGTTGCTGCTGGAAGAGGTGTTAGTGGAGCCAGCAGGGGGCTGTCTGTGTGGGCCCTAATGCCCCAGTATAGTGATGGGGACACTTTACTGTAAACAGGCTCTGTCCTTCAGATGAGACGTAAAACTGAGGTCCTGACTTTCTGTGGTCATTAAAAATTCCAGCATGTTTCTCAAAAAGAGTAGGGGTGTAACCCTGCTGTCCTGGCCAAATTTCCCATTGGCCCTTACCAATCATGGCCTCCTAATAATCCCCATCTATGAATTAGCTTCATTACTCTCCTCACCTCCCCTCCACCTGAGTGGAGTGTCTAGAAAAGCGCTATATAAGTGTAAGCAATTATTATTATTATTAATGACGTTAGGTTTGGTTTTCTATTTAAGACATAACATACACAATGTGAAATATAGTACAATAACAAGTAATAGGTTTATTCCATGCTGAAAAAAAGAAGAAAGAAAACACAAGGTTTCCGCCTTGGAGCCTTCTCCAAAACGTTGTGTTTTCTTTCTTCTTTTTTTCAGCATGGAGAAAACCTATTACTTGTTCCTTTGCAGCCTACGCAGGCTGACACACCTACCCACCTGAACTACAGTAGTACAAGAAGGTTTATCAATGTGTTATAATTTCAGTTTAGCCTTGTGTGGATAAGGATACACCTGCAATTCTGTGGTCATTACACAATGGTGCATAACTGTTGCGAATGATAAATACTGTATACTGTATAGCAGACCTTCAGATTGAGGATTAAAACAAAAAACGTATGCTCAGAGACGTACAAGAATGCGGAATTTCTTGCTGCTGTGAATAACAGGAACCACAAAATCTGAAGCTGTAGGTACAGTAGTTCTCAGTCTGATCTTTGTAGCAAGGTATTATAACGGAAGTGATGCAACAGCTCCCTCCAGTGGCAGCCTTCATGAAGCTGCTGCTTTCAATTCCGAAGTGAAAGCCTGTCCTTTGTGCTTCACTGTCCTGCCTCACGGTGTGTCTTTCTTATCTTCTGTGGCCTGTCAACTTGATTTACTTGTTTCTTATGCTTTTTAAAATTCATTTTAGGTGTTACACTGTAACATGCAGGCCACAGGCAAAATATACAGCATACTGCGTAATTGCATAAGTTAAATTTATACACACAGAATAAGTAACATAAGTATCTTACAAGTAAAACAGAATACAATGGAATCTTTAACACTTTAACCACTTGATTAAATGAGAGGAAAATATAATTACAAATACATTTAAAATAGCATTTGCTTAAAATGGATTTCCCACCAGCTTTATTGCTACAGTATATGCCTCTGAACAGAGTACCTTACAGTCTGAAGGTGTCTGCTACTGGGACAGACTGGATACAATGATTTCCCAGCATGTGGACTAAATTAGCTAGGCATCACAGGACCTGACTCAGATACAGAAGGCTTAAAAATAATCTGTTTTACTGCGTTGTCTTAATTCATGAGGTGTGCAGTATGTCAGTATTTAGTGGAAGTATACCATATGTACAATATGCACACAAATCTGTCTTGATCTTGCTTGAGTCTTTTACATAAGGTGTAGCCTCTCTCCAATAATCGTAAAAACTCAAGTATCTGTGTATCTAAATTCTGATATTTCTGCATTGTATGCAGCTGGTACTGTATAGTAGATTTTCTGTGGCATTGAATCTGCAGGTGACAATTTTGAATTTAGAAGAGATTCAGTTGCTTTTAAAGAGGCAATGAAATGTAAAACCATTATTATAATGCACACCATCATTAATATTTACAATATTAATAATACCTCTCATTGCAGTACATACTGTATACCTCAGGCTTATGCAAACTGGGCACGGGCATCAAAGTGCTCCAAACTATGGACATTTTCAAGGACTGGTTTAATTTTCTTAAATTTGTCTTTTTCTTTTTCAGAATGAAATGGGAGTTCAGTGGTCAGAATTCTACACCCGAGTATCAGAAGAATCCAGCAAGTTTAATATAGAGCAAATGGCAGACAAAAAAATTATTTTGCAGCTACAACTACTTCAAGACAAAGGATCAGGAGTCTTACCAAAAGATAAATTTGACCATGTATGTTAAGTTGTGAGCACCCATGTTGAGATTACGAAATGCTGAAATTGATCAGATTAGTCATTTCATTTTTATTTTCTGTAATTAACGTGTTATCAGTTTTTTTACTAATATTTCTACACCTGAGGGAATATAATGATGTCTTGACTAAAAATATAAAAAGAGCATTATATTTCCTTTCTTGACCCCACAAATGGACTAAGCAGCACAATGTACCATTCCAACATTGCACTAACCCCCTGAAGCCAGGCTGTGCCAAAGAAAGTGAATATGTCAATGTGACAATGGACCACACCTCCCACTGCACTCCTTACTCCGCGGCATGTGGGAATGTGCAGCTACAGCACCTGAGGCTCATCAGGTCTGCTATTTAAGATCCTCTTAAATTATTTAAGATCCTCACGCGTTCGCGGATGCTGTTCAAGCTTAGAACCCAGGTGCTTGTGAAACAGTTACAGAGGGATTATCCTGTTCTTTAATGACAAATCCCATCTCGTATAACAAAGAAGGATCACCCTACCAGACGACTACACACTGGCACACCGCTCACTCCCTTACCAAGGATAAGAAACGCTCTGCCGGTGTTCAGGCAGTACCCTTTCAAACCTGACACTATTACACCAACCATTTACTTTCTTTGGCCCTTCTGACTCTGGAACACAAATATTAGAATTACAGTACCAAGTATCAAGAGAAAGATGTGTAAAAGATGTTCTGATCTTGCTTAGCCCTTTGGGCATTATTGACATGTTCATGATGCAAGAGCATTGTAATGAAAGCACAAAATCCAAACCCCACACACTCCCAGCTTCTGGCTACTTTAAATAATTACCCGATTTGTTTGTGATCAGACCATGGAATATGGGAGGGTGGAACCTGGTGTACATGGAATGACAATGAATGGTACCAAGTGGTACCTGCAGGATGGTACGTTCTGTGCCTTTCAATCACCAGGTAGGTGTAGCAGGTACTGTACCACCCAGCCCATTCCAATCACCCTGCTTCACACTGATAATGGCCCATTCAATGCTCTGATTCCAAACACATCTGCTGTAATAATTATTCCCTCGCTAATTAGTGAACTACGACCCTCGGTAAACAAATTACTTTTTACAACCAGTCCCATCAGGGCGATTGGCTATTCTGCCACAATTGAAGTTTACCAGAAAAAACCCTTAGAAGCCAGATATGAACATGAATACAATTTGGCTTGATGTAATGTTTCTTTACTTTTAACCTATTGCTTTGTAACACTGTTTAACAAGAATGTTCTTGTCTTACAGTTGAATAAAGTCCTAAGTGAGATGAGCACCATCTACAGCACTGGGACCGTGTGCAAGGTTGATGACCCTTTCGATTGTGAAACTTTAGAACCAGGTATCATCTTTCAAGGTTTTTACTCACCTGAAAAGAAAACTGTTACACTGCTGCTTCGCATTTACCTCTATACCCATCCTGTGAAACAGAGACGTTTTCTTTGATAATCCTAGCAACAGAAAGGATGTGGAGGTGAAAGAGATGGGGCAGTGGAATATAATTCCAGGTCTGGGAATTTGTCATTGTAGCAGATGGCTTAATCATTGATTTACTATTTGTAAACGTCAGGAACAAAGCCTGTAACAGGAGAAGAAGAAGCTTCTTTTACACAGCCATCAAAGATATTTGCATAACTTGGTCCCATTCTGGTATGCATGGCACCTCTGCTCACCTAGCGGTAGAAAAGTTTATTGAACGAAGAAACTTTCAGAATGAGGATCAATTCAGCAAATTGGTCAGGGGTTTGTGGATCAAACACTGCATATTTGTTAAGTGTGTGGTTGAGGGCTATGGAACCATTGTTATGTGGAATAATGGTTTACAGCAGTGAGATCATGGTGAAAATGAAACATTCTGGATCGTGAAATTGAAAACTGTCTAAAAGCTGGAGCTGGTTGGTACCTGTTTTATAAGAAGTAAGTACTTCAGTCATATATTACGCTGCCTCATTAGGCTATCAAGGAAACTATGTTGAGATGTGAGTAGTGGGGCATTTGCACGCCAAGAAACTTGGATGTCTTTTATTTGTTCTTTACCTTTTACTATTACACTTTCCCTATTTTGATCCTTCTTAGTCCTTATTTAATTCCTTTTGGATCCTGTTTGGCCTGAGGTATCATCTTAACCTTAGTCTATAGACCCTCAAATACAGAAACTGTCAGGATGTTGTAATTTTCCTGTCTGCATATACCTGTAAGTGACTGGGTCTGTCTCTTTTGTAGAGGTTGGTATTATCTCATCTGTGATTTTCTCTTGTACTTGAATTTATTGTCAATCACTAACAGATCCTGTTTGGTCTGTTTGTCAATGTTTTAGTTTTCTAGACCCAAGAACTTGTTGTTTCTTGCAATAGTCACTATAGTGTCTCGTCCGAGACATTTTAATCCTAGCTCCCTAGGGGTGGATGCTCTCCGTCTGTTTCAGTCCTCTTTTATAGTGAGAGAAGTCAGCTCACTGCAGGTGTCGCTGATTTCTGCGCCACACGCGGATTGCTCACTGACATTTCCTTTGCTTCTGGAGTGAAATAATATTTATAATATAAATAATATGTCTCCAGTGGTAATCACCTCATCTCTCCAGTTAGCTGTGTAACAAGGTGACACAGGTATATGGATCTTTATTCTGCATGTATTCTGTATATACAGCATGTACTGTACATGTGTGGATACATGTGTAGGAGTTACTATTACAATACAAATACTAACTGTCCCATTTCACTTTCCTTCCTCCCAGGTCTTGAGCACACTATGGCTACAAGCACTGATTACTACGAGCGGCTGCATGCCTGGGAGGGCTGGAGGGTTGCAGTGGGGAAGAAAATGAGACCACTCTACGAAGACTATGTGGACTTGAAAAACGAAGCGGCAAAACTCAACAGTAACTACAGTACCTCCTGTGTTTCAGAATTCTCTGTTTCTCACAGTGACAAAAGCTTCCTGATTATTTTTCTAACGTTTGTTTTCTGATCTCACAATCAGCTTATCTTCATCAAGGAGAATGAACAAATATGCTTTGTCCTAAGAATTCATTTAAGCTGTTTGGAGTCCTGTGCTACTTTTACATTTACATTACAGTGTTTTTTCAATTGTTTTTTGCGTGAAAACAGATACCACTGGTACTGGAAGGAGTTTAGTGTTCATGGCCTACAAATTTAATAGTGTACTAAATTTTTATTCTTTTCAAATTAAAGACTACAAAGATTATGGGGACTATTGGAGAGGAAACTATGAAGCTACAGATGATGCAGTTTACGCTTACACTCGAGACCAGCTTATGGAAGATGTCCGACGCTTATATCGGGAGGTATTAACATTGGACTGACCTTTATCTTCAACTTTTGTACCTCATTTTCATTTACAAATGAAATGAAATGTTGGCTTTTTCTGCTTTTTACTATTTCTGCTTTTTCTACTGTGATCAATACAATTCAAAACAGGGCTCAGGAACACCAATTAGCACTAACTGACCAAGTCAGAGAATCAGAGAATCACACCTAGATTATCTCATTCTCTCTTGTGTGGCACAATAATGCAACTGTAAAGCTGTGTCAGAAATTCCAAATTGAGAAACATAATTCACGAGGAATGACAACGCCCCAAAATCGACTATTGTGGAGTGAATATTTGGCTTAACCCGTTTGGCTGAGGGCTGACCTCCTGGCCATAGGACGAGGAGGCCAGGACTCCCCTGTAAGATAACCAAGGGGTAGCTGCAGAGGTGGAGGTGGGATGCGAAAGTCGCACGTGAGGGAGAGAGATATCGCATTTGGTATTTATAGTGTTCGGTGGAGGAAGGACGAAGGGAGTGATGGCTAATCACTGACGGCTGGGAATAATTGAGCGTGGTTGTTGTCATCCATCCCGAACTTTAGTTAAATGAACTCCATTAAGCTGTGATACCAAATTAAAAAATATAGGTAAATCAGACATTTTTTCATTGAAATAAAAGTCCACTTATCATTTAAAACATCAATGTAAAGCATATGTTTTAGTCCACCAACATGCATAGTTACTGTACAAACTGCATATTCAATGTATAAACTGTTTTTAATATGGTTTGTGAACATTTTCCTTTGCCACTGCTCTTTGAATTCATCCTTTACTAAAACAAGCTTACAAAGAAACAGCAAGGCATCCCAGTTGCTACAGTACATACTCTTTAATCTATCTCATTTGTATTATTCTGTTTTAATGGATTCACTTCGAAACTATCTGGTGTTTCAGATAATGCCTTTGTATAAAGAGCTCCATGCTTATGTGAGAGATAAACTACGTGAAGTATATCCAGGACACATCAGCCCAAATGGTGGTCTTCCAGCTCATTTACTGGGTAAGTCTGTGAAAGATACAGTATGTGTCTATGTATGTTTTCATTTTTCGTTTTATAGCAGTACAATTTACCTTACAGAGGTTTACAGAAGCCTTCTTGTTAACCTCATATCCATGAAATTAAATATTGCAGAGTAATTACAATGTTGCATAGCTTATACCCTTATTACAATATTATTATTTTTTTATGCACGGATCACAATTATGTTAAAACAGGTTTACTGACTGAATAATGAAGATTACATTTAAAATGCAGTTCTCTCCAAGTCCTTTTTATTTAGAATCTGTCTATCTACCTCTGCTGCATCAGGTGATATGTGGGGCCGATTTTGGACAAACCTATACCCTTTATCAATCCCCTATAAAAACAAAGAGGATATTGATGTGACATCTGCCATGGTCAATCAGGTAAGCTGACCTCCATTTGTAAACTAAAGGTGGATTTCATCTTCTTGTCCCTTTACTGGATGTGGTAATCAAAACCATTTGAATGTCCGATAGAAAGAAAAAAATGAGTATGCTTTATAGAGAATAGGCCAAGCTAAAAAGTGAAAATACAATGAATTATGAATCAATGACAGATTTGCATTCCATTCTGAAGATGATGTATCCATAAGACGTTCCAGCATTCATCAGACAGACACCTCTTTGGAAACTTGATCGCCTGAAATCTTCGCAGTAGATGTATCTTGAATTTCAAGCTTCTGCTTTCACAGGGCTGGACGGTGCTGAGAATGTTTAGAGAAGCAGAAAAATTCTTTATGTCTGTTGGCCTGTATAAAATGTATGACAATTTCTGGAATGAGTCCATGCTGGAGAAACCTGATGATGGGAGGAAGGTGGTGTGCCACCCAACGGCCTGGGACATGGGCAATGGAAAGGACTTCAGGTAAGGAGTGCACAAGTGAGGTGCCTCAGGCTGAATTGGAGAAGCTCATCATCAGCCCCAGGGGAGCTTCCTAAGTTTTCCAGAAAGAAACAACAAAAACAAAAACTCCAAGGGATTGAGAATTCCCATGCAAAACATATTAATGGAGTGTTTTTGTGATGCTCACAACTTGCCATAGCCATTAATAGTATGTATTTTGGAAAAAAAAGTAGTACCTATAAATGTATATTTACAACTCCTTAAGTACATCGTTGCTCCGTCGCTTAATTGACATTGCAAAATATAATTTTATATTGACAAATAACATGCAATAAAATGTCCAAATATTTACTTGCCCACATGTTAATATTGTGCAAGTGGCAGTTTTGCTGAGTCATGCCTTTTTTTAAACAAAATTTATACTGTTATTAAGTGCTGCTTTAATTCATGATCTTTACCACTTTATTAATATGTAAGAATGACTTTATTAGAAATCTTTCAAATGTCTGTGAATCATAAAAAAATATAATTTGTTGAAATACGCATGCATGTACAGTACGTGGGTGGTTTTGTATGTTTTGAAACATATGGCTAATTTAGTTTCAGAGCACATAACAGTTAAGTTAAGCAAACTAAGACTATGGGTCTAATGAAGCTTTTTATTCCTTGCAGAATCAAAATGTGCAGTAAGGTGAACATGGATGACTTCCTGACAGTTCACCATGAGATGGGACACAACCAGTACCAGATGGCATATTCCAATTTATCCTACCTGCTTAGGGATGGTGCCAATGAGGGCTTCCACGAGGCTGTAGGAGAGATCATGTCTCTGTCTGCTGCCACCCCAAGCCACCTGCAAGCCCTGGGCCTTCTGCAACCAGACTTTAAAGAAGACAATGGTAAGGCTGTAGTCATATGCCTTTTCTTTATTTCAGTCAACAGCCTTTCGTTTCTGCACAATCACTATCGCAGTGCCTTTCTCACTGCAGGAATGCAGTGTGCAATGTAACATTCTTAATGTAATAATAATAATAATAATAATAATAATAATAATAATAATAATAATAATAATAATAATTCTTACACTTATATAGTGCTTTTCTGGACACACAAAGTACTTTACAGGTAATGGGGACTCCCCTCCACCACCACCAATGTACAGCATCCACCTGGATGATGCAATGGCAGCCATAGTGCACCAGAACATTCACCGCACACCAGCTATTAGTGGGGAGGAAAATAATGAAGCCAATACATAGATGGGAATTATTATTAGGAGGCCATGATTGGTAAGGGCCAGTGGGAAAATTGGCTGGGACACCAGGGTAACATCCTTACTTATTTCAAGAAACGCCCCAGAAGTTTTGATGACCACAGAGAGTCAGGACCTTGGTTTTACATCTCATCCGAAGGACTGTACCTTTTTACAGTATAGTGTCCCCGTCACTATACTGGGGCATTAGGACCCACGTAAACCGCAGGGTGAGCGCCCCCTGCTGGCCCCACTAACACCTCTTCCAGCAGCAACCTTAGTTTTTCCAGGTACTGACCAGGCTCACACCAGCTGAGCTTCAGTGGGATGCTGAGCTTCAGTGGGCTGCCAGTTGGGAGTTGCAGGATGATACAGTATGGCTGCTGGCTGTGTAGATGTAGAAAGTTTGCATTATCACACACCTGTCAGTGCACCCGGAAATGCGTTGGTCCAACTTCTGTTCCAGAGACAAACATAAACTTCCTGCTGAAACAAGCCCTGACGATTGTGGCTACGCTGCCTTTCACTTACATGCTGGAGGAGTGGAGGTGGCAGGTTTTCCAAGGCCAGATCCCGAAGAACGAGTGGATGAAAAGATGGTGGGAAATGAAGTAAGTTTCTCTCCGTCCAGAGTGCAGAGCTAGGGATTCATACTTGGCTCACTGCTTAATTCTGGCTATTTTAAAACCTGTAAGGCTCTTCTATTAAAATAGCTATGGCTCCATATGGCCATACTGTAGCTATGGCTGGTCACACAGTGTTGTAGGGTTGCAAGAACGTCACAGCGCAGTTCAGCGAAGATTTTATTACTGTACACCTATACAGTACATCTAAAAGCTGCTTTTACACTTTTCAACCATCTCTCTCAGTTACCATAAATGTCATGTTTAGAGAAGTATTATTATTTTAGGACCAGTATATATTTAGGCTTAGCCTTTAAGTTCTACATATTTCCATATGTACAATGGTATTCCTTACACTGTTTAAGGTGTCTCATACATGTTACCGTCTTTCGGCTTCAGTATGCGAATAGCAAACTTAGAACGGACCCTTTCCCACAGATCAGACCAGATGTATGTGCATGCAGGCAGTGTGATGAGAGAGCAGTACAAAGTACTGAGTGACAGTGAGAATTTAGTCAGCAGTCATTCTATAAATGTATACCTCTCTTGTACTAAATACCAGTTCATTAATATAATCTACAGATACTGTCAAGATCCTGTCTTGATAAATCTGACCGATTAATTCCAACATGTGTTGCAGTATTGAAAAAACTCTTGTATGGCTTTTAATGCCTTTATCCTACAATTAGACAATGATTGCAGCTGTGCTAAGCAACTACAGTGTGTATCACCTCTTACAATTGTGAAAAGGATAGGCTGACGCTGTGCTCTTCCATTGATCTTCCTTCATTAACCTGCTTCCTCGTTCGCAGCCATGTACAGTAAGCAATGAGGGTCATACTATTCATGTTACAGCACATTTCATTCTAATGAACAACAACAGTCCTGAAGGTGAGTGCCTTTCTTAACAGGAGAGACCTAATTGGTGTGGTCGAGCCTGTGCCCCGAGATGAATCCTACTGTGACCCTCCTGCTCTGTTCCACGTGTCGAACGACTACTCCTTCATCAGGTCAGATTCTCTTCTCGCGGCAAAGGTCAAACAAGCACTTCCTGCTTTACTCCCAGGTGGCGCAGTGCAGCATTCACAACTTCCTAAAAAAACTTGTATTGTTAAAATATTATTGGAAATATTGTTAGTGGATATTTGGAACCGTGTGAAACATCTCTTTTTGTGCATTTTGCAACTTCCTAAAGCAAATCTATGATTAATAAATATAATACATAATATTTTCCTTAAATTCCATAAACCTGCTCACAGTTTGTGATGATATTTGTTTATTATTTGCCATATGGCACAATATTTTAGAACAGTATGTGTTGTTAGGTATTGTGTAGATATTTTATTTTATTATTATTTATATATTGGAAATGCAGTACTTTTTATGAAGAAAGACCCCTTGTCATAGACTATTTAATTTACAGGTTCTTCCTGTGTGAGATTTTTCTGTCTGTGCAAAACCTTTCATACTGCATTCTCACATCTAACAGTATTTCTCTAACTTATCCTACAGATGATTTCTTAACCAACTTACTCATCTCCACTCTTGTCCCTTTACAATCCTTATGGCAGGTACTTCACAAGAACCATTTACCAGTTCCAGTTCCAGAAAGCTCTGTGTGATGCAAAAGGACACACTGGACCTTTATATAAGTGTGACATAACCAACTCCACAGAGGCAGGTGCAAAACTGAAGTAAGCCATCTTATATTTATTCTCTTTAATGGAGAATAAGCTTGTAACAAATATTCTCTTCTCTTCTATGTATTATTTCACATTACCATTTGTTCTACTCATTTTATTAAATGATTTCCACTTTTTATGCCAAAACGTGTTTTTAAGCTTACAGTTGATCCAGGAAGATCTGTATTCTGTGATCCATGAAAACCTTTAACTTTATAGGTTTACAGAAAGGAATAAGTGATATTAATGATGTGGAGCACCCCACAACAAATTAGAATAGGTGAATGTGGTATGTGATGGATTAAATACTACAAAAAATTGTATTGGCTACTCATCAGTAGTTTAGTTTGATTTGTAGATCTAAAGCATCTTGGTCTGTGGTAGTAGCAGTAGACAGTTTTTGACAACGCCTTAACATCTGCAAGCAAGATGTTGACTATAGATTCTACCCATTTTTACTACAGGGCAATGCTTGAGTTAGGAAGATCAGAGTCATGGACTAGAGCCCTGGAGAAAGTGGCTCAAACAAACAAGATGGATTCCAAACCTCTGCTGGAGTACTTTGATGAACTATACAGATGGTTACAAAATCAGAATCAAGAGAACAACAGGAATATTGGCTGGGACAAAGCATGGGACCCATGTATGTACTGTACTGCATGGATGGTCAATATTTGCACTGTCCACCTGTTTCACAACCTCCATCCATTGGTACTACTGCCATTATCAAGTACTGCGGCAAGAATGACTCACAACGGGTTCCAGACATTATAGGATTTACAGTACCTTTAGTTATGGTTTTTCACACTCATACCTGCTATCTTCATGATCACTAACACATCATAAAAAAGAACAAGGTTTACTATCTTAATACTACTAAGCATTTTGTTACTATTATTCTAAGCAGCTGAAAGTTTAGCTATTGTTGTTGAATTCAGTGAATGTTTTTTTTCTGCTGGAACTTGGGTAACAGTTTGTCTTTGGTAGGTGCTCATCTATGCTTTTAGCTGTGTGTGAAAAGGAGCTGATAAAAAGCTAAGTATTTCTGCGTTTTTATCTAATTATTCAATCAATAATGTTGTGCTCATTTTTGTTTCCATACAGATTCAGAGAATGCAATAAAAGTTAGAATCAGCCTGAAGACAGCATTGGGTGATGAAGCAGTAAGTTCCTTTCAGTAGCTAAAAGTCACTGTTGTTTCCTCACAAAAATGGTTACAGTAAATAGAGTTTTAAGTGCTGTGAAGCTAAATAAATTGTTATGTACTTAACGGGATGGCTGCTTCCCGTTATGCTGTTCTTTATTATAAAACTGCATTGCATAGTAATTTTAATGATGAATAGTACCGAAAACGTCTCTATGTAAAATGTCCTCTGGCGACTTGCCGGACTTGAATTGCTCTCGCCTTTAGACTACAGGGTATCACTACAGCTGAAGCAGAAACCACATTCATAAGCTGCTCAAACCACAGATGCTCCCCAGGAAACATTACATAAACTTCTGCACAATTATAAAAACAGCAGCAATTCTCATGACAATATGAGCTCCCATTAGTTTGTGATTGAGATAGGATCTTAACAAATGTTGCCGAAATAGCATTTTAGTTCAGATTCAGAGAACAAATGTATCATTGAATAATAAATCTCCATCAATTACACTGGCTTTAGCTGTAAAGTTATCTTTTGCATTTGCTCTTTCTTATTTGTCCAGTTTACATTTTGTTAGGAAAGTTCTAGAAAACAGAGTTCTTGTAGACACATTTGGTTCTTATTCTTTTTAATGTTTGGCAAACCAGTTTTCGCTTCACTTTGCATTACCTATTTCACATGCCTTTTTTTAGTTTCAACTAAAACATCACTGCTATCTACACTTCTTTTCTGCATTAATCCTTTCCTATAGAAAGGTTTTTCTTTTTAGCACCAGCATTAGCATTGCACTGAAATGGTTTTCAGCATTATTACATAGTGTACCAGAATTCAAGCCGCCTTCATATAGTGTTTAAAAGAATTAGTATCAGAGCTTTATGCTAAATTGTGATAAAGATACTGTAAGTCTCCCCTTCCTGGCACTTATTTCATACTATTTCTAAATGCAAATTTCTTTACAGTACTCGTGGAATGAAAATGAAATGTATCTCTTCAAAGCAACAATGGCTTTTGCCATGCGTCAGTATTACCTGCAAAAGGGGCAGGCACTCAACTTTGTGTAAGTGTTTTCTTTTAATCCATGTACATTAAGAATAATTGCTTGCATTTGTACAGTATGCCCTACACTATTTACTTTTCATTGCTCGCACACAAACTCATTTATATGTATAACATATTTATATCTAAATATGTGCACCTAGGTTGGAAAATGTCTACACATACAACGAAAAGCCAAGAGTCTCCTTCTACTTTATTGTCACTGCTCCTGACAATAATTCAACAATAATTCCCAAAGGAGATGTGGAGGCGGCAGTGCGGTAGGTTGTCGGAATGCTTTTTGTGACTGTAAGTTAGAAAAGAGTGGAGACGTTTAACTCAGTCATATAATCTATGCAAGACATGTGACTAGGCCACCCTATCAATAAATTACCATGCAGATGTTCCTCATTTGTTTTCATTCCCAATCCTGTATATTGTGTTGATTACAGACGTTAGGGAGGAGGTCAAATTCCTAATTTTCCTTTAAATATGTATAAATGCTTGCTGGCTGCCCACAACTCTGCAAATATATTGTCTAGTGCCCCTTCCTCCACTCCAAATGCACCCTTGCAGCAGCACCCTGGTTCATTCCTTGTGAAGGACAGGGGTTGTGACAGTCCTGGTCTCAGCCAGCATGTCATTTCCACAGTCTGGCAAGTTAATGACAAAGTATTAAGTATGCTATCCCTTTATATTGATTGGCTCATTTTGTCGGGATTAGAATTTGACTGAACTACTGAAATGTACTTCGTTTCACTGTGATAACGTGCAGTGAAACCTTGTGTCAAAGTGCAAGTCATTTGAACTGCTACATACAGTACATTGAACCACCATTTCTGAATTTGAGTAGTTTATGTCTATTATAGGAAGTTTATGACTAGGTGTTAGGGATAACGTCATAAATTTCATAAACTTTTAAATAAAATGTAATGTGAAAAAATTGACACTTCTTTGCAGGCTGTCCAGGAACCGCATCAATAGTGTGTTTCTACTAGATGACAAAACTCTAGAGTTTGAGGGTCTCCCAGCAACATTAACACCACCTCAAGAGCAGCCTGTGACTGTGTGGCTTGTTGTGTTTGGGGTGATCATGGGTGTGGTTGTGGCTGCTGCAGCATACCTGATTATATCTGGATTCCTGAACAGGAAGAGGTATGTGTAGGAGAACTTTTTTTGATCATTGATAACAATGGAACAAATTCTTAATGAGCTGCAACAGAATAGTGAAAGGATAATATGAATGTTTTTTAATGTATTCCGAATACCTGCCGCTTAAAGTGGATTGTAAAAGCACAATCCAAAATATTTTATAAATGAAGACATTAAAACCATGGTTATAGCTGCAAAAATGTGTATACTATAAGAATTGGAAACACTTTCTAAAATGGGCACAGATTACCAAATTCATATCCCATAAGGTACACCTGTGCTATTCAGTCATTTTTTTCAGTATATTAGCAATATATTGTACAACATGGCCATGTACCATAAAAAGGAAATACTCATAAAAGTGTAAGACTTGTGTTGGTTGCTAAAGTTGTACAGTATGTTATGGGAGAAGCTGCTTTGTTTGACTTTTGACTGGCTAACACTTCTGTTACAGGCAGTCAAACTAAAAAGTACAAATTAAACGATAGGCTTTCATTTTATATAGATGTATACAGTATAGATGACAGTCCAAATATGCTTAAAATGTTTGTGATCCCACACTGCTATCGGATATTCAGGCAGCATGAAAAGATACAAAATCAAAAGTTACTGTAGTTCACAAGGATTTAAAATGCTGTCATTGCAAAATGTAAGTTACCCAACCAGTGGGACTTTCCTTCCAGTATTGCAGGAGCTGCAGATTCAGCCTTTTCAGTATAGGGATGCAGAGCCAGGGAACGAAAGCAGACACAGAGCCGATAACAGCAAGCTGTTTTGCTTATTTCTGCTTAAACAGGGTGGAAAGTCAAAAGGGGAGCTGTTGCACTTCCTACTGTACATGTAAAATATTGTTTTTTTGCTTTCATTGTTGTGTGTGCGTGCAGAAATTCGAAGATCCACAAAGAAAGAGAGGCACCAGAAAACCCCTACGGAAGTGTCAATCAGACCAATGGAGTGACAAATGTAGCGTATTCTGACGAAGATAATCACACGGGATTGTAAATCTCTACCTTTTCAAGATCAACAGATTGCAGAGTAGCTGAATACAGCAATTCCACCTACTGTACAAAGCAGTTTAACACAAGTTTTTAATATCAAAGTACAGTATGTACAGGTAGTTCAGGCAAATGGGTATACAGTACAAGCGTTATAGAAAAAAACATTGATTTTAAAATGAATGAAAGCCATACTTAACTTATAACATCTAAAGAATTCAATAAACAGCATATAGTCGTAAATTACAAGAACATGGTTGCTTTGTTCAGTTTTAAAGAAATATTGTAGGCCTGGTATGAACTTTATACCTGATATTTTGAAAGCTACTTAGATTAAAATAATACAATTTAATGCAATATGGAATACATCAGAGCACACAGTTTTAAGAGAATTCAGTTTTATAACGCATAGTTCCCTCAACCATTCACTGTCACTAATGAACGCAGACAAGTGTACAGTAGTTCCTAGCTGATGTCTGAGGGGAAACTTGGAGAGGTGGATTAACTCCCATGGAATTTCTTGATTAAAAAGAAGAATGACTGGTCCTCCGTGTTTCTGGATTCCACCCGCATTACTTCAAGTGCTGTTTCCTTTATGAACCACCCAGGGAAGTTGGCGGACTCAAAACGGCGACAATTGTCTCTACTTGCTTTCATGTAAAACACGAAGGGCCAGGTGTCTTTGTTCCCACAGGAAATTTGCTGCAGGTTCTCTTTATTGCAGCTCTGAAAGCACATTTAATCATTAACACGTGCAGCGCACATACAGTACACAATTCTTACTGTTTCTAAAGAAAGTCATTGGATGAAGAGATCGATTTTGATAGATTTCTTTCTGCTAATTTATGTCATTTTTTTTACATGCATGTCTTTCATGGTCATTAAATGTCATGTCAAAAGTCATTTCGTTGTAAGAAGATGAAGTAAAACATCAAGAAAAATGCATATATTTCTCTCGATAGCAAGCAAATTTGAATTTCAAAACATCATGAAGCTGCTATCGAAACCATTGTTAGTTTTCATAAAAAATGCTGACATTGCAATGAGAAAATGAATGTACTTACATCAATGTTAAGAGTCACCTTGCCTCTGATCTTACTGCATTTCAGAAAGCAGTTAGTATTGGTGAAATTTAGGACAACTGGTGTTCCACGAAAATCTCCATCAACATTGTCAACTTTGTAGTAATAGATGGTCATATTCGCTGAAATATATAATTGGTACATTATAAAACAAATTACTTTTTCTTTACCATAAAACATTCTTCTTTTTCACAAGAGTGCATAAACTGGAATTAAGATAATCAGCCACAAATATTTTTAGGTTTTACTAATACTTAGTCAAGTTTTTCCTTTGTTGGCCCACCTGTGCTAAATATACTGTTTAACAAGGTCAATGTCTTAATAAGAAGAATATACTAATTATATTCTCAGAGGAAAATTAAGAGGTTTACGGAGATTATTTTTAAATATTTTTCAAAGATTTACAGCACATTATTTGCATAGAACACAGTATAAACCCTTGTTGGTTCTACAGAAATAAAATAACATTAAGCTCTTCAGTCAGCTTTTACTGGAGTTTAAATATGCTGAAGGTCAGCAGAAGTAAGCTGGGACACAGGCTTTGGAAAATCAGATCTTATTTTCTCCATGGCAGAAAAGGAATCATGTGTATCGAGAATAAATGCAAAACAAAAACTATAAAAATGAAAAAGACTAAACCTAGGCCTCTAAGGTGTGAGTTATAGAACTAATGTCATAAGCAGTTGAAAGGGCACAATTTAGAGTGAGTTGGCTGGTGTAATGAAGAGAGAAACCAACATATGGTTACACTGCATTTTAGTATGAATTATGGCACGTGTTTGTTTTTCTGACTGTCAGATTAGCTTTACCTTATATATTTTTAACTTTCTGCAGTAATATCCGATTAATACATGCCTTGTATGTATTAACAGTTATATAATGCTGTAATCTGTTTAGTAATTTGCTAATGTAACAGGGCCTGTTACAGTGCCATAACCTTGTGGAGCTGGCAACCCTGGTAGGTCACATGACTGTGGTATTCGTTCATCTGCCCCTGTGCTGTGAAGCTTTAAGGGAGCTTGACTGAGAGACAGCAGACAAACAGCAAATCTTAAAATTTAGCATTTAACTAGTGTTTGAGTAAGATGGTGTAATGTGACTACAAGTGTTAGCTTTTCTTCAGTGTTACCCAACATATAATGTACTGTAACACAAGCCTTGGGCAGTCAGAATGCCTTTAATACCTACTATTTTCCACCTGATGGAAACACAAATGGAGCTGTGATAGGATTATAACACTGTATATAACACTTAAACAGAGTAGGATTAGGAAACATGTTATTGAAAATAAAAGCTACAGTCTGGATATTTTACCCCTCATCCTATGTCTAAATGGGGAGCATCTTTTTTGACCCATTAATTATAGGATTCGTGAATAATGTTTTTCTTTTCCTTGGTCCCGGGGTGATTTTGAAAAGTAAATTTGAACAAATTAACTGAAATTGTGGTGTTGGGTTATCTTAAAGTAATGACCAATTGTGTTTTTGAGTGTTTATGCAATCAGAAAAAATACAGTATGGATGCTGTGAACATAAGAACAGTTACAATAGAGAAAAGTAATTCAGCCCATGTACAGCAGCTCTTTTTGGTAATTAGTACTGTAGCTAATTGATCTAAGTATAACTTTTTAAATTTATTTATTATGTTAGAGTAACACGGTATCCTTTGCGGTTTAGTAAACAGTATTTTTATGGAAGAACATACACAGGACTATTATATGATGGACTGTTGGAAAGTCCAACAACAGTTTTAATTTGTCTTGTGGAGCGGTTTTACAAGTTGCTTATTAGACAATCATCTGATGTTCCAAACAAAATAGAGCACAATTCGGAATGCAAGAAGAGGAACAATTAGCTGTAGCTTTACAGGGAGAGGGTAAAATTCACATCCCATTGTGTAAATCATGTTACATTTGCTCTTGTTAGGATGAGTGGTAAAATATCTGCAGGGAAAACAGTGTTTTAAATTGGGGCCTGCTATTTTCAACAGATGCTGTTGTCCATTAGGTGCATGTCTGTAAGTGTTTAACGCATGATTTAAATGGTGAATTAATCACAAAGGTTGCTGCCTCGCAGCTTTGGGGCCCTGGGTTCTATTTGATGTGGAGTTGAGTTTGTATTTTCTTTGTGTTCATATGGGTTTCCTTCTGGTGATCTGGTTTCCACCCAGAGTCCAAAAACATTCTGCCAGGTTAATTGTTTTTGGGACGATCGGCCTCGTGTCATGATTGTAATCCCCCCCTTTTAAGGGCGCTCCGGCTCTTTCACATTTAGTTGATTTTGCGCACCTGATCCCTGTTCCAGCATCCCTACAAAACTTGTCTTGTTCTTCTTGGATGGATCACTTGGCTCTGGACTTTTGCTTGTACTGAATTTTCCCTTCTGACTCCCTTTTGGACTGTTTGCCTGGACCATGCCCCCCCGAGCAGCTTTGTCACGCCCCCCTGTTTCGTGTACCAGCCCAGTTCCTCGTCTCCTCCCCATGTGTGCTCACTCCCTTCCGGATTGGGCTGTCTGCATAGGGTCCTGAAAGATGCATCTTTACACCCTGGGCCTGTCAGTGCCTGCTTGCCTGTGTCTGTGTGTGCCCTGCAATGGACTGGTGTCCCATCCAGGGCACACATAGACACAGACATGCTTGCAAGGAGAGGCTGCAGCTTCCCTGCAACCCTGAATTGGATGAAGAGCTTAGAAAATGGATGGATTTATTAAACACAAGGTTGCAGTATCATTCACATTAAATGTTTATGAGGAACATCAACATCCACGAATCAGATGCTTTGTGAATGCTTTTTTTAAGTATAATATGTTTTGGATTGACGTGCTTGATAAAGCCTCGTGGTAGGGCTTGAACCCCATTCAGAGAGAGGATGTAACCAAGTGGGAGCTGCAAGATGGAGGAGGGATGCATCCCAAAAAATGCAAAAAAAGTTGTTTCAATGAAGTAGGTAATGTCAGTAATCATTATGATTTAGAACTGCTGAGTAAAATTTGATTATTTCCATTATTCCTCTTGAACATCAGATAAGAACTTGTATTCAGTATGTTTTAAATTAGAAAATTGTACAATTCCTTGCTTTTATATATGTTGGTGTTGACTTCATTCTCCACTGAAGTGCAGCACTAACCTGTGTGATGCACTGCAGATATTATGGAAAGGTCGTGATTAATAATTTAACCTTTAATAAATATAACAATAGTGTATCTCATGTTCTGTATTTATCATGCCAATGTTTTTCTAATTTAATAAAATCTGAAGGCTTTCAATTGGATATGATATCAAACTGAGTGCAGTGCAGTGTATGTATTATTTTGATGTAACTGAAACAGATTAGTTTGAAATTTAAAACAAGAACATCTTTACCAACCTGCTTTTGTCCTTGATAATGGTTTGCACATTGGAAATGAGGAGTGGTGCTGAACGTAATTATCTTGCCACAGACTTTGAATGAAAATATTGTCCTGTACTTTCTCCTGAAATAAATTATAGGTGCCTCTGGAGACTAGAAAATGAGAAAATACAGCACAACAACAACAAAAACAAATATTACTCATGATTCTAAATTCACAAGGAGAAACACAATCATTGTAGTAAGATTAAGTATTTTGCAATGAAGCACAACATTGCAACTCAGTAGGAAGTTTCAGTTTTTGTGCTTTTTTTAATAAAACAAAAAGAAAAACTGCAAGAACGCTTTTCTTACCAAGGGTGAAATTGGTAGAATTCGATACCACCAGGACATCACTCAGGCTGCACTTGGCATTTCTGCAGTCTTTACAGGAAACTTCTGGGTGCTTGTCGCAGCACCTCCCCACTACCACAGAGATGTTGGTTTCCCTCATAGAGACCAGCAGCAGGTCCTCGTTCCCATCACCTGTCTTGTTGTGAACTGTACTACTGCTGCTGTTGCCCCCGGCCAGCTGCTCTCTGTCCTCGACACTGCCAGGCCCTCCCTGCTCTTCAGTTTCATTCTCTGGCACCATCTCAAAGGTGACCGTCATGAACCCCTTCTCTTTAAAGAATGGATGTCCTCCACCCACATTCTGTGGGCCAGGCGGACATGATTGATGCACAGTCTGAGGGTGATGGAATAAGTGATTACTGTACATGTTGTAATATTGTGACATTACATTGTGTACATTGTGTAATTGTAATATTGTGACATTAACAGGGACACACATCACCATAATCCTATCCCTGCCAGCATATCACTTGAGCTTTTCCCACGTTTTAAATGGTCTGTCTTTCATCACTAAAATTGTCTCTTCAAATCAAACCTTTACTCTTTTAACTCAACTCTTTGCTACTTGTCTTCAAAAAAGCACCAGATCTTCACTTTCAACCAGCAACTCTTCTCATCACTAACTGTTCTGGCTAATCTTGTTTGACTGGGCCTGCCTCTCTGTACCCCTGATACAGCAGCAGTTAGTTTATGGTTATCTCTCTCATCTCTGAGAACACATGTCTGTCTGCTGATGGCAAAGTCAGGGATTACTGAGGACTCAATCTGTGCCATCAAGACTCCTCCCTCTCTCAGCTGTAGGGAGAAGATAACATGCTACCTTGCCTGCTGATGCCCCAGATGATACCCTCATTCCTAAAGATACTAAAATCTCCAGTCAGCCTTGGGTCAACAATTAAAATATACATTATATAGGGATACTGTGTAGTGTAGCATAATGCAGAGGGAAAGTACCCTAATGCGTGGGTTTTGAGTTCAAGTTCTGGCTGCAGATGCTGCTATTGTAACAGTGTGAAGTACAGTACTTTTCTCCAGTCCTCCCAGCTGTGTAAATGTGAACTACTGTAGCATTCTTGGGGGTAGACTCTGCAATGGACCAAGATAGGGAGCTTGATGCTCATAGTTTTCTTAACACAACAGAAACCAGGAAGAGCTTTGATCCTACAATAATTATCTACATATAATGCATAGGGTTTGTCTGCAACTATATGTGTGCATGTTTTGCCATCCTCAAAATATATACATTTATTTCTCTCATGAAATATAAGAGAAACTAACATTTCCATCTATATTCTTAATTTGGTGGTGGTAGCAGAACATGTACACTATTTTTGGGATTTGAATTTTTCTAAAATGTAAACTAGCAGTTTTTTTGCAGGTGTAATATTAATTGTATACGATACCATTGTGGGAATAACAATCAACTAAGTTCCATTGACCTTTCTTCCCCCAGTAATTTTTGCAAATTCCTTCTCAATCTGCAAAGGTCGTGAATCACTTACCAACAGAGGCAATTGTTTGCAGAGTAGTTCTGCAAAAGCTTCAGGTGTCACATCCTCCAGATTTACTCCATTGATCTGGGTAAGTTTATCACCTTTCCTTTCAAATGAGAGGAAAGTCTCATTTTAAGCTCAGTAAGCTCTGCTTTTTTTCCAACCAAAAGCAGTATACATTAGCATAACAGGAATTTATGTCTGAATTCATTGTCTGAATTTAAATTTAACTATAAATGTAGTTCTTTGCAACATTTAGATTAAGATCTAACATTTAATTTAGATTAAGACTTAGAAAAATTATAGGTCATGAATGTCTTGAAAAAACTAAATTTTTGAAAAAAAGTTATTGAATTTACAGAAATGTGGCTATTTTTGTGCTATTGCCACAGCACAATAAAGTTAATAATGCAGCACTGTAACCAGTACTAAGGAAATGTTTGACATCATGTATATCAGATTAAAAGCAACTGTTAAAAAAACATTATTAAAACTAACTTATTTTATATCAATGCTATATAATCTAACGGTGATTTGAATGCCAAGAACAATTCTTCCAAATCAAATCAATTAAAAAATAATAATAATGAATTAAAGAAATAAACTTCAGAAGAAAAACTGAATATTTTAAATCTTTCTAGTTGTACATTTGATTAATTTGTTAAAGACAAAGATCCTTAGTAAAATAACTGGCAGACATCTCTCCCTTTACCTTAAAATGAAGCGACTGCTCTTTGCACTTTGGTATTTTACCATCTTTTCCACTTCATAATAATGCTTGCCCCCTTCCAGTTTGTGAAGAATAGAAACTCCCCCATTTAAAGGATTGTCCTGGAAAAATAAGAAATGTGAAACAAAAGAATAATTAAAAACAAAAACAGTTATATTTGATATTAAAGAAATGGGCTCTAAATAAAATGAAACCCTTATATTAATATCAATAGGTACCGTTACAATGATAAAACATAAAGTATACCTCAGTGCAAAACCACATTTTATATGCCATCTCATTTTAACTTTCATTTTTTGACTCACTGAATCCTTTCACTTTATATCCACCCTGTTAATGTCTTAACTTAACATATATGCTTTTAAAGCTAAAATCAAACCTGAAGAATACATTTCTGGTTGTTCAGATCAGAGTAAACTATACTGTACCTTTTCCATGTTGTTAACTGACTGTTAATCCTGGCAGTGATTTACAGGTATTTCACAAGCTAAACTCCATTTATAGCTCCGTTCAAATTAGCATACAAATGCTGAATGTTGTGCACTTCTTGTTTTTGACAAAAGCAGAAGTTCAACACACTTTTAAGGGAAAAGAGGAAATTATAATTTCTCAGTTGTCATGCCTTAAAAACGATTAAAAGCCCCACACGTCTTTTTACACAAAAATTTTCGTTTCTCCCAAAATTTGAAACACTGTGACAAATATGCCATTGTCCTTACATTGCCTTATTAGAGTTTGTGATCAAGTGAGAGATGAAAAACTTTTTTGCTGTACTAATAAAAAAGCACTTTGATTGGGTATCATTTGTCAGACCAACTTTTTTATTCAGACTCTACTTTTATAAAGTAAAATTCAGAACATTTATAACAGTACCAATTGAGCTCACAAAATACAGTATAAGATATGTTTCTTATTCAAAAGCTAAGTGATACGGACTCTTTTCAAATACAGTTCACTCATTATTCTTGATCACATACACATTTATAGAACCGCAGTATTGAGATATCCAAAATCCTCAAAGACTTTCAGAACGTTATACCTAAACAGTATACAGGAGGCACTTCTTTACACAAAAGGATGGCTACCCAGTCATGTCATCAGAGCCTGTACCCTGGCCTTTACAAGGAATGGCTGGTTGAAATCATTGGAACCATTATCCACAAAAAATCTAATGGGCTAGAATGACTTCCTCTAAAGTTTGTAAACTCTATGATATTCTTCTTACATGAATTTAATTCCTCAAGAGACATTTCAACTTCTTATCACTAATAAATAACATTTACAGTAGTGAAAATAATTTCAGGGTTCCAGTAGCTTGAAAGCAGTGTCCCTGTCTAGAAACAAGATTTGCCAGTATGGTGATGTAATAAGATGGTACAACATATATATTCATGGTTAGAAGATGCTAATGTCATACTGTATATATACATATTAATGGATAGCTCACAGACATAAGAAAAATCAGGCCACAATATCGCATGAGTTCCACACCTGTTTAGGTGTGTATCTCACTCTGGCAAGAATGTACCACCCCTATTTGTTTGGCAGAGATCAAACTCAAACTCCTGCAGCCAAGACCTGAAGTACAGTAGCTGTCTGCTGCACTCTGACCTTAGACCACACAGTCCGTCATACAGGTGCTCCTTCAAGAGACCAAAGAGATGGAAACCACTGGCTGCAAGGTGGTCTCACACTTCCCCATAACAGCATGAATAACAATGGGAAGACTGGTTATTTATTTAAGCATGTGGCTTAATGTCATTGTGCAGCTTATTTGTTGGAAGAACTGTGGGTTGTTGCTGCAGGGCTTCATCTAGCTGCAGACAGAAATTGGATAACGACACACACCTCTGTCTGTCCCCTGCTCCTGCCTCCCACCCCCCTCTCTACCAGCTTTTATTTTCTTATGCTACATTACCTTTGCTTACTGGCCTGTATTTCTCACACATGAAGGAGGCTTCACGGCCAAAATGTTGCGTTTTCTTTCTTCTCTTTTCAGCATGGAATAAACCTATTACTCGTTCCTTTGCAGCCTACGCATGCTGACGCAGCTACCCACCTGAACTACTCACACCTCAAGTGTGTCACCCCAGTGCCTGAAGCATGACGTTACTTCAGACTGGTGATACTTTATGCCTGTGAATGGTACTGACAAAGCAGAGAAGGAATACTCTACTTATTCATACTCACTTTTCAAACAAATATTTAAGAATATATATTTTTAAATGCCCTTGTGGAAAAAATTAAATTAGAACAATTGCTGGATACAGAAGAACTGGTCAGCTTCTGAACTATACAGCAGTATGCAGTTCCAACTGTACAAATGCACATTCATTTATTTAAAATGGTGTTTGCTTGCTTAGTATTCAGTGTAATATTATGGTACCTTACAATTTTTACCATTTAACAGGTAACAAGCAAAGTTATCCTGTTATATTGCTTTGAGATTTTTTGTTGTTGTAATTATAATGTTAATAATGTTGAATAGGCTGGAATCAGACAGCAAAACAAGCTTGTGTTGATGAACTCAGAAAGTTGTATTAGGAAGCACTTTGACAATTCTCGGAGTTAGTTTTTTTTCCTATTTTACAAACAGTGATGAATATTACAATTATTCCGATTGTCCTTTGAAAATTCTTCTTTCATCTTCCTGCTGTTTTTACATGGAAAATGTTTCCCAGCATTTCATGAATGTCAAATTATGCAGCAAAAAGTGGTAACAAATACACAAGTCCATGAGAATACAGTACCATATTAGGTTAATTATGAAAAGGATATCACATATTAAGTAATGGAAGTCATGATAATAATTCTAAATAAATGTAAAGCTATTTTATAATAAACATATATTTACATAATAAATGTCAGATCTTTGTTGCATGAAATATTCTTTTAACTCACCTATAAGCTTTGGAATGTAAACAAAGGGATACTTGGAATGAAAAATGTATAGGGAGTGAACCTTAAGTTGTATAGTTCCAAGGATATAATAACTGTACACTTACTGTAGCTTTCTGCATTTTAATGTCTCAGAAATTACTGTATACATATGTATTATATCACAGATACTGTATAAAGTAATACAATCATCACATTTCACTTCACACATGACCACAAGTTCATTTTAGCCATATGAAAAGCATTATTTACACCCTTCAGAATAAAACACTACAGTATTTCTAAAAGATGAAAACATTGTTTTCAGTGATAATAAAGTGAGCCTCATTTAAAAAGTAATTTAAATTAAAAAAAAGATTGTTAAATCACACAGGTTAGTGATCAGTGAAAATGAAACCAGGTGGTTTAAATGTAGATGCTGCATATCAATTTCTCCTTGTTCCAGATTTCTCCGAAATAAAATTAATAGTATTTCCTTATTCTTTAAAACACAGTTGGTTGCCTTTGACAAATGTGCATTACAGTATCACTCCTCTCGAAACCTTTGGATATTTTCATACAGCTGGTGAAAAGAAGGTCGGTCTTCAGGTTTCTGGAAGAAAAATATAGTTCAGTTGTATAAAAATGTATTACCAAAGATATATTTGTGTCATATTACCAAATATATATTTGTCAAACTTTAAAGAACATTTTTTGATAAACTGAAATCCAAACCGTTTAAAGGGGAACTGCAGTTCCATTGTTTCAGACTGGTTATGAAATCTTGATCAAATAAATTGACTCTATTACAAAATTTTACGAATTCTGAATTAAGCTGGTCTAGTCCTGGTAGAGTGCAACAGTTTGCAAGAATTGTGACATGAAGCGGCCCTTCCTGGTCACTAGTCACTGTAATGACTAATGTAACGTGATATACGAACAAGTAAGTACAGGTTGTGCAGCAGGACAAATACAAATACTAATTGTATCATTCTGTATCAGCGTAACCAGGTCAAAAGTGCTCTCATTAACATTTGTTCATTTGTTAAGACGATGTGAAACATGTGCTTTGACAGTTGAAGAAACACATGCAAAGTAACAGCAGTGTTGCAATAAATGAACTTGCCTCATGCCAACAGCTTTTCAGTATTAGGTAGAAATCCTCACACATCACTTGCGGCCTGTACAATCGGTATCCCTGCATTATCTTCTCAGCCACTTGAGTGTTGTTGTAGAGTTCGTAAGGCTGCTTTCCCAGAGTGAAAACTTCCCACATGAAGATTCCTGGGAAAGAAATAAATCTGGTTTATGAGGAGACAGGGTCTATTGACGTCATCAAACTCATAATCTGGCAGGAAGCAATATTCCAAGTTCTTTAACAATAACCATTAATCCCTTTCCAATAGATTTGACCTCCGATTGCACACTTCAATTCTGCAAAAATCTGCAAAGTTGTGAAACCATGGAAAGCAGCTGCTACTTCTGTTCAGCAAGCCAAAACAGCTGATTTTCCAACAAGAAGTATAAAAGCAGTTTTCCTGCTGCTTTCCAAGTAGGAATGATTTAATGGGAAAAATATCATCCTAGTTGGGATTACACATGCTCCAACATTTCAGTTAACTCTGATGGTCTCTGACAAACTCCCTTCTATGATGTCACAGAGCCCACAGGACAGATGAATTAATCAATTTCAACAAACGACCTCAGCAGCAGGTGAGTTCTGTTGGACAGATCACCCTAAGCACCAAAGTCTGCACGATCATAAACCGTTAGTTCTCCTCATTTACAACACTATCAGCGCTGGCTATTTATTTCCCAATGTTTCTTCATTCCTTGGCTGAACTTTCTCTTTACTCTCATGGTGTTCAGGAGAGCGTTTCAATAGAACTGTGTAGGATGGTGGGAAAGGCTTTTCCCATATAAAAACATACTGCATTGTAGCAAGGTTTTTAATACATGTCTTTACAGTTTGGCAAATTAGGCTCATATACTATATATGCCTAGGCATAACAAAAACAGTAAAATGTATTGTCTATACTTGTATTCAGGGTAGGTTTATATTGATATTCAGTAGTTATATATAAAATGGATATATTGGCCATTGATTATTTAATCTCTGTTCTACTGTAAATCTTTCATCAAAGGTTACTACACAGGTAATATATAGTACATCAAAGAAAAATGTATCGTACCAAAAGCCCACACATCAGATTTGCTACTGAATCTGGTGTAGTTCAAAACTTCTGGGGCAGACCACTTCACTGGAAACTTAGTACCTGCAGAACTTGTGTACTGGTCATCCAAAACATACCTACAAAACATCCAAAACATTATCTGTAAGTTTAGCAAAGGATGTTCGTTGCAAATAAATTTTAAAATTTCACTTGTGTAATATATCTGTAATATCTGCCCGTAAGAAAACAACAGCTTTTACACACAATCGTACTTGAAGGTACTTTTAATTAAGTAAAAAGAAAGTAAGAAAACCAAGCATAATTCTGTTTTCCTAGAGGGCAGACACTGTGTACCATGTACTTTAGCTAAATGAGTTCAAATGGCTGTACATAAAGGGAATTATTTTAAATTCCACACAACAAATAAACAGGTATCAAGCACAAAATATGACTGCCATGTTATTTAAGTTTTGAAAAACCTTTTTTAAAATTAGTTTAACTTTACATTCCTTACTTTGCTTTTATTATGTTGTTTGAATGATTTAAGATATACAAGTCAAAGTAATTGATTAAAGCTGTGGCATTGTGTTCAGATTTAATCTTAAAATAATCAGGCACGAGTGTACATCCTCTTTGGGCAGCTGTAGTAATTTACTAATTTTTAGTCTCCAAAAATGTCATTTTTCTAATTCAGGCACCTTAGTGGCTGAATTGGCCACTATATTGGCTTTCCTTCTGTCATGAACTCCAGAGCTTTGAGCTTTTTTCACTCTTTTTCCCTGAAAAAAATCCTCTCTGAAATGTTTTGCTTCAGTTTTCTGGCCTTGGGAGATTCTCCCAAACTCTTATTTGTTAGTGCAGTGTCAGCTTCACTGTCTGGTTCAACCTTTCCTGTGCTGGAAATAACCTAACTGCCTCAAATCACATTCTACATATCATATTAGTGAAAATAATGCTTCCTTAATGTGCACTGTGTTGTACATCATCTTAGTCACGGAACAATGATCTGGTCTGATGTATCTGGTGTTGTATGTTAAAAACAAAATTCAATCACCTGGCCATTCCAAAATCAGATACTTTCACTGTCAGATCCTTTTCAACCAAGCAGTTTCTAGCAGCCTATATAAAAAGGAAAAGACACTGATAAAACTAAAAAAAGGTTACGTTGTCATAAATTAGGATATTCTAAGTGTGACAAGAGCAGCTCTGACCCCAGTAGAATTTCAATCAGAGCCGCCTACGGGCAACTCTGGCTTTAGAAGTGTCCAACACTTTTGCAGTATATAATCAATCATACAAAGAACTTTACATAATACATTACATTATGAGTAAGAGAAGCTCCCCTGATTCCAAAGGTCTTCCATAGTAGAATATAAATCAGCTGCTGAAAAAATGTTACTTTTTTCTGGAAGCTACAAAATATCCAGAATACTGACACAAAGAAAATCTACTGTATATGCATTACTGCATATGCATAACTGTGCATGCATATGCATGTATGCATATGCAGTGAATGTATAATGGGCTTTCAACAACAGAGCGAGCATCACTCTGTAGCCTCTAATTCATCTTTTTCAGCAAGCCTCACTTCGAATCGGTTTAAAATCCCGTCTGCCCTGGATTCAAGCCAGATATCTTCATGCACCTGAGGCCCATTCAACAATCATACTGGATAAGCACTTACGGGGTAAGGTCTAAGATCAATACTTTTTCATAATGTATTTACATGTAAATTTTACATTGAAATGTCAGCATGTATTACAGAGCATATAACAAAATAATTTAGAAGAAGTTTAGATTTTCAATGCCTTAAGAAAGATGTTAAAATGAATCAGAAGACAAGAGTTTTGGTCATTTCTGTAGTAAATGCATACACCTAAATAGTATATTAGTAAATTAATATACATGCAGATTAACGACTGTACTGTACTGGCGCTTTCCACTAATATAGAAAGGCATAAATGTTTGGATTTTCTTTCAGCTGTGAAATATTCTCCCAGAGAATTTACAAAAAACAAGGAACAAGGATGGGTTACGTTTTTCGGAAAAATAGCAAGAGATTGATACCGGTGAACTTACCAAGTCTCGGTGAATGAACTGCTGGCTCTCCAGGTACATCATGGCATCACAGACGTCGAAGCACATCTCCACCAGCTGGATCGTCTGCAGTGGGCTGCCATGAGCCTGGAGGTAGCTCAGTAGGCAGCCATTGCACATGTACTCAGTCACAATGTAAATGGGGTAAGTGTCTGTGCAGACCCCATGCAGAGCCACCAGCTTTGGGTGCCTCAGTTTCCTAAGTGATACAAATTGTTTTGAAAGAACCAGGTTAAAGAATAGACTTCTTATTTTAATATTTAAAACATCAGCAGACTTTCTTCTCAGGAAGCACCTTTTTTTCCCCAGTCGAGACGCACAATAAAACACTTGCAGCACTGGTTTTAGCTTTACTGTGATCATTTACGCAGAACACTATAGAAACTTTGCATGGTTTTGGAGAATTCACTTTTTAAAAATATGGTTTATGTGCCAGTATTTAGGTTTTTAGTAAAATCTATATAGTAGATAATTTGTAGGGAAAACAGTTCACTGGAAAAATGTTTAAAGGTACTGTATCATTTTTAAGTCCTAGCTTCAATAAAATACACTATACAGTAACTGCTTGTACATTACAGTTATATCCAAGTTCTGAAGCAATCATTAATACTTAAAAAAAACATTCTCAGTGGCTATTAAAAATTGTGTTTCTATACTATAAGATCTAATTTAAGTGGAGTAAAGTATTTAGTGGACATTATGGCCAAAATAAATGTGTCCAGACTTTTTGTATTTATAACAAGAGAAGTATAAAACCAAACGTGTGCTGAGGGAGCTTTGTGGACAGGTGAATTTAAAAACTTTAGTATACAGCACTCACAATACTGTGGTGATGCTTACTGAAATTCTTAAAAATTCCAAGAAAATTGATTTAGGCAGGTACTGAAAATGACTTTTTAGTTGCGCATCTATTGCAAAAGCTGAAAAAATAATATAAGCTGTGGTGCCGAATGCCTGTTGCAGAAGCTGCAATTCATGATATAGAATTCACCGGTACTTAAAAGCAGAAGCAGAAGCAGAAGCAAAATGCATTTATGCTAAAAGAAAAGGCGAAATGGACATTTATGGGATTGATAACAATTGTATTAACACAACAGGGCTGGTTAACCAACAACAGGTGATTCAGATTGTCATGTGCTCAGACTGGGGGTGGTGAAATGTTCTCGAATCTAAAATTAATTTATGCTGTCTCGCATTTAGACTGTAAATTGCTTCATCTCCTCCCCTAATTGTTTTTATTTCAATATCTAACATAGAACATCTACCAAGCAAAGAAATCTACAGCCCTGAATTGTGAAAAATACTCAACATATGTTGAAGCCATGCATATGATGGGGGAAACCCAATCAAAGTGATTTAGAAAAGATCAATGTGTAGAATCTAGCCCATCAACCAGAGATAAGGATTGCTATTATCTAAAGGAGTTGGATGATCCATGCAGCATATATTTGAGTTTTTCTAACTTTAATTGATCCAAAGGTTGTGTGAAGATGGGGCTGGTGAATTCCAGATTACTAATATCAGGTGTCTAGAAAGCAAGCAGAAGCATCAATACTGTTCTGCAAACCAGACAAAGGGATATCATTGGGTACTATACCAGAGCAATCAGAGGACTAGGTCTGATGTGTGATTGCACATGATCAGAGACTACATGATCAGAGTCTTAAAGATAAAGGTCCACAGAAGACCCATCTTGGGAAAATACAAAAACAGAAGCTTGTTTGCTAGAGCTTCTCTGCAATAGAGTCACAGAATTAGTGTTTTACGTTTTCACGAATGTTGATCAAACTCACATTAGAAACCAACTATAATGCATATCTGCAATTTCTTAATTGTATACAGTAATTTGCTTACCAAATTTGAACTGTAGAATTTTGTAAAATGAACTACAAAAATGCGGAAAAGGATCCTTCTAGAAGCACAAAAATGTTCAGCTTTCTATTTTAACCATTAAGCTATTATGTAGCAGCTATCAACGGTGAGTAAACCCAGTTAAAGTCAAAGTTTGATTTAACAAAGACCCAGCTACCTGTATGACATCGAAACCGATAACCTGGCTTTTTTAAGATACAGCTGGATGAGATCCTTGGAACAATTACTGTACCCAATAATTACCAAATGGCCACATGGCCTCTTTTCTCCTCCTTTTGTAACCTTTTTTTCTTATGATTAAAAAAAAGAGAAAGGGGACCATACAGTATATATTATGCTAAAGGCATAGTTACACAATAACAGAAAATCTGATAAGGAACTGTACCCTTTTGGAACACACAATACTCTTGTGGTTTTTATTCATAGGAAAATGATAAATTCCGTTTTGTTACCTAGTAGGGAACTTACATCATGATCTGTGCTTCTTCTATAAACTCTTCCTCTGACATGGAACCTTCCTTGATCATTTTGATAGCAACTTCATATTTGCTTTTCCAAAGGCCTAACTGCACCACGCCAAACTGCCCTCTTCCCAGCTCTTTCAGCAGGGTGATCTCCTCACGTTTCAGCTCCCATTTCCCTCAGAACAAAGAAATAAAATGTTCTTTTACTTTTAACCAATATTTCTGACCAGGGGTTTAGGTATGAAAAATGTCATACTGTACTGATCTTTTCCTGTTATGCTTTTCAGACATGATGTACACAGAGATGTACACAGATTTTCACCATAACGTAACGAGGATGCCGTGTTTTTTTTTGCTTACTGATGGGTTTTGATTGTTTGACAAATTACAAATTTCAACTTTTTTATTATGCTTTATGTGCATGACAACAACAACAACAATCATATACATTTTTACCTAAAAACTTTTGCCAGCAGCCATATGACCCTGTAACTCACAAGTGAAAACTCCTGAAGCTCAGCAGATGTGAGCCTGGTCAGTACCCAGATGGGAGACCTCCTGGGAAAGCTAAGGCTGCTGCAGGAGGAAGTATTAGAGGTGCCAGTAGGGGGGCGCTCACCCTGTGGTGTGTGTGGGTCCTAATGCCCCAGTATACCAGAAAAGTGATGGAGACACCATACTGTAAAAAGGCACTATCCTTTGGATGAGACGTAAAACTGAGGTCCTGACTCTCTTTGATCATTACAAATCCAATGGTGTTTCTCAAAAAGAGTAGGTGTTACCCCGGCATCCTGTCCAAATTTCTCATTGGGAGCCGCACATTGGTGGTGGTAGAGGAGAGTCCCCATTAGCTGTAAAGCGCTTTGAGTGGAGTGCCCAGAGAAGAGCTATACAAGTGTAAGCCATTCTTCTTCTTCTTCTTATTATTATTAGCTTCAGGGATTAAAAATTTTGAAGTAAAGAAGCATTGTTCCATCTTGTGGATCAGTGTTCACTAGGAACCACATGCTCTATCTTGCACACTAATATATATATATATATGTATGTATATGTTTGTATATGAAAAAATGAACATGGATTTGGAGAAATAAAACAATTACACCGCCTAGATACTCCTTGATTTAGATGTAAGGTATTACCATTAGCAGAGGATGGCACCTTGGTGTCTTTAATTAAAGCTGGATGACGAAGTCTTGTCACCATTCCTGAGAGAGAAATACATTTATTTTACTGTCCCATTCATACAGTAGGCAGCCTACCTGTATATACATCATGTGGTTTTTCCCACTTCCTCCTACTGAAACGTGTTCAATGCTTATTCACATAACAAATGTTTTTCTAAATTAGAAGCTATGAATAAAAGTGAAAAGACCATTACAGACAATTAGGTTTTTATTCACAAAGCTTTAGTGAAAATAAAAATGGCAGATGAGGAGAGATAAGCTGTCTTTCTATAATGTACTAACATTATAGTTAAAGACTAGGTGAAAAACATCTCAAGATGTGATGGATGGACAGAATCAAAGAATCAAAGAATCAAGATTTGGACATTTCTCCACTTATAAAGTTAAAATCTGCCGTCAAATGGGGCACTATCATAAACATGAAATGGTGCCAATTTCAGCAGCAATGAAGGGTTCCGTGTGACTGACTGAGGTAAACAGATAATGGAGCTCATGTAATGATCACGAGCAGCCATATTGCATGGTAAATGGAATAGTTCCCAGAACCACACTCCAAAATCAGGGTTTTTCACTTCTTTCTCTTAAGATCTCTCTGTGTTACAGACCAGCTAATGTATGCTATGCCAATCAGGCTTACTGATCACAAATTGTGAAGTATGATTTCCCTATACTGAAGAGTACCAGAATAATGCAGGGCCTCCAATGGAGTGTCATTCATTTCACAGAGCAACAGAAACAGTTTCTACCAGCCTACAGTAATTTACAAGAGAGAAAATGATTACCTGCTGCATTGTGTTGGTGATATTGCACCATTTTTGGAACAGAGTCAAATAGATGATTTTCTGCAATATAATACTTGCTGTCAGGGGTAACATTTACAAGGTAATGACGAATTGACCCATTTTTATCACTGAAAAGGAAAAAAATAAATTAAGAAATTACGTGGAGCCACTTATCCTTACAGGCGTGTTCTATGTTTTCTATAAAGTCTGCTAAACATATTTGATTTTCAAAAAAGGGATAGAGAAAAAAAGTATGCTATGTTAATGCACAGTTCTTAACATTCTGAAGCTTGTTTGATTGATAAATACGTAAACACTTTTCTACATATACAGAGATGTATGTTGCCAAACATGAAGTAACGGATCAATTTAAAGATAAATTTATCTTGTTATGTAAGAACTGTTGTTCTTAATCTTTTCTTCTTCATCTTACATTAAAGTAGCTTTTCTCAGAAGCCGCCTTAACTTTTAATTGATCTAAGTGTTAGCATTTCCACCCAAATCAATTTATTACAGTCTGTGAATCCAGGATAAAGTTATAAATCAGCATCAGCTTGAATCAGTGACTAGTTTATGTATTTTCAGAGTGTTGCAAATCAAAGCATTGCGAGGAGAACAGAATTCAGATCTGTAAATTATGCAGTTCGTGGAAACACGGGGCCATAAATCATGCTTTAGGGATCCTATCAATTCTGTTTTAAAATAATTTAAATGTGTCTATGTTCCATACCCTGTATGGTATTACCCTCATTTACAGACCACACTGAAGTGTACACGTTTATATCTGCAGATAGAGACGAATGCATATTTATATAAAAGAAAACTTCAATTTTTCATAGTGTTACTTATGAAAAACATATACTGTAGTTTATAGAAAAAGGGGAAATCACAATGACCACAGAATGCATAGTCATGTCCAGTTAATTCTTGGGATTGCATGCTTATAGCCCAAGACTTTAAGGGCCTATGCTAGATGAATATTAAAGGACTGGCCTTGAACTTTAGACAGGAGTTATATGACTGTTAAATAGAAAACATGATATTTTCTATTATCCCCTCCAGCTATTTAAAAAAAAAATCAAATGATTTCCAGGTTCAGAATTGCACAGTACAGCCTTGTATTTGGTGGATTGTCTGTCTCTGCAACTAAGACTCCTTTTAAATCTATGGTGTGGTCTGTGCTGAAACTTCTGGATATGAACATAACGTAGGTGTGAACCTGTCTTTAGAGTTACTGCAGCCACTGGAGGGCGCCAAAAGCCTCTATCACTTGAAAATAGGTTTGGGCCTGTATTAATCATAATATAAAAAGTGCACGGTTTAGAAGCCACGTTGATATAAAGAGTTTCAAAGTGTTCCTCAGGGGTTGGGTTATAAGCAGTCAGTGATCCTCCTTTTGGTGCAACAGGTGGCTTCTCTCTTGACTGTTAAATTTTTTACAGAAAGAGACTGGCTGATGCAATTTCAGTGGGAAATTACAAGTGGACTTACTGTATTAATGTTCTTGCCCTGTTTTACATTTATTATTCAAATCTAGCAATTTAGCATGTAGAACTAAGGGAATTTTGTAATTTTCTGTATGGTCAAATAAAAAATACATATTTTAGATTTCCAAAAGGACTTTTTTAAGATGTAAAAGTTCATTGCCAGTCTGGTATCTATTTTCCATACAAATATATAGTAAATATCTTAGAGTAATGCCACACAAACTACTTGCATACCTAAATAGCCATGAGTAAAACAATATACTCACTGATGTAACTACAGTGCTATACTTAATAATCAGTGACAAATAAAACTAGAGCTGAATAAAGCAAATACTTATTGAAAGTAATAATTAAAAGGTAAACCATGAGCTTAAATGTAAACTGAGTACCGTAATAAGAAACTCTATTAGTATTCAGCTCATACACCAGTGTACGTACGTGGAAAATGACTTTTCATACTCACTCAAAAGCGAGGGTAAAAACAGATACTGTGTATGTCCCCTGCTGACTTGAATCTCTAACAACAAAGGCCTCTTCTTTTCCCTGTTTTCAGTGAGCGGAATGAAAAGTAATCAATGTAGGAACCTGAAACACTACATTATATTTTTATAATGCTATATACTGTATTCTGTGTCCCTTATATTTATATTTATAACGCTAATGCATATGCCAATTAAATTGCTAAATATTTCTATAGAATACAATATTTGCTTAGTTTTGCCATAGAATTGTGTTAATAATCCTATAATTAGTGATAACAAAACTGAAGGCATCCAATGTTGACAGTAAATAATCAGTCAAAGTGAGAAAAAATGTGATACATCAGCATCCAGATGAAAATATTATGTAAACAATTATATATATATTGTTTTGAAGGCAGTTATCGAAGGAAGTGTTATGTTTTTAACTGTGTGATTTGAGTGACAATTCGATGCTGTCGATACTGACTTGAGGGAAGATAATTATTTTGATAGTGGGGACATTTCAATATTTACACTTTCAAATAATGCAGGAAATAGAAATGCACTGTCACAATGGCTGAAGACCATTTTTAAACTCACCTTTTCACGTAAGAGCTGTTCTGCCTTTGCCCGTGACATATTTCCTGCGTACCACCTACAAGAGGTAAAGTTGCATCCTACAGTATATGTTTAAACAGTATGTGGAAAAAATCAGCAATAAGACCATATAATGAGAGTTTATAAAGCTATTGAAAAAGATAACGGAACCATACTTTGGTTTTTTTTATTAACATTGTGTCTCAGAAGCCTGGGCTTTACTGGCTTTTGAACTAAAATTTAGATTAAAATTAACAGAATTGATTCAATGCCAAACATAACCTTTATTGTTATTTTCATCCTTAACCAATACCAAAGGACTCCAGGGTGAAAGTGAGGGTGAAAGTGATCTGCACTGTTTAACTGTTTGGTTATGAGGCTACAAAAAAAGTAAAAAAAAGTAATTGGCATAACTGTTTCATTTTAAATTTTATTTTCTTTATATAAATTGTGACTTGTTTCTTTCTGCATTTCAACAAAATACAGTACAGTCTTGCTACTAATGTATTATAAATGAAGTTCAATTCAAACTGTTTCTATGGGATGCCATGAATCTACAGTATGTACAATATCGTTCTTAAGTTTATAACAGATATGTCCTCAACAGATATTTTTTATTAACATTCATTTATGCAGGTTGCATGATGAACTCAGAGTCCACATAACTAAAAAGAATATATTTAAATGAAAAATGTAAGAAAGACAAAGGAAATAGGAATGGAGCTACTCACTGATAGTCCTCAATGTTAACAGAGTGCAAAGGGATGGAATTGCTGGGAATATTATTGCTGAGTGCACTGCCGGAAATGAGAACGTTGGTAGGAGGCAAAGTGAATGGTGAATCAATCACATTTGAGATGTTTTCAGTTTCTTTGTCAGAAACTGCTGAGAACAGTTTGTACCATGACGGTCTAACATGAAAGCCTTTTTATTTTGTGAAAAAGATCATTACAATTATGGAATAACACTTATTATTACATATAACACAATATCCTAGCTAAAAGAACATTTCCAAATATTGCTAGAATGCTTCAGCTTGGTTATGTCAGACATTGGGACACAACATTGTATTGTAGCAACATTAATCTTAAACGTCTGTATATGATTTTAGAAGATGTTATTCAGTATTTGTTTGGCACATTATTAAGATATCAGTAAGTTAGCACATCCCACATTTACAGACTCATTGCCTTAATGAGGAAGTCAGACCATAGAGAGAGAGTGTTACAGTGTAGTAAATTATCTTTCAATAACATTTGTATTACTGCAATATTTCTGTAGAAATCTGCAACTATTTTTTGATGTTGCCTTTTGGCTTGATGGGTAAGATTCTATTTTAAAATGATTTATCCTGTTGTAGATCTTTTAGTTTACTAGTTTTCAGTTTACTTTCAGTTTACCAGTTAAGTAAACTGAAATCTTGAACCTTGGCACATTTAAAAAAAGACTTACTTATCCATGCTGAGACACCTCTGTGGAAGGTGATGATTGGGATTAGATTTTTTATGCCTATGAAGGACAATAACAAAAGAGTTATTTTCAATTCATAAAACACAAAGTGTAAGTATGTGCTTATATGATTGATAAGTACAATTATCTTCCCAAAAAGGTTATGTCAAATCATACATCATTAACACATAATGGGGAAAAACACATTTACTGTAACACAAAGTAAAAAGACATTCTGATGTTTTAATTGTTAAAATTAATTTCAAGAGAAGATGTAGTACACTCACTCCAAAACTGTGCTGAAGGATCGCTCTTTCAGGGTTTTCAAAGGCTCTGTGCTATGACCACATTAAGTAAGTGTAAGAAAAAAAGAACTGCAGTATTAATTACACTGAAAGCTGAAATGTAACAGGGTTTTTGAAGAACGAAAAATAGTATAGTTTGCATTTCAGATGATGATAGCATGTCAAGACCTTTCAAAATCTTCTTCTTCCCAGAAAAGCAGAATTGCTTTTTTTTAAAAATATTTTTTAATCATAAACATATTGTATGGTGAAACACCCAAAATGAAGAGCTATCGTTAATGCACTGTAATATACAAATCTGGCTAAATGTCATAGTGACACGGGATACTTGTATATTTGACAGTGACAGAGAACAGGCAGGAGGTAGGTTTGCAGCTTTACAAAGGCAGAGGGATTATTGCCCTTCTGGTTACACAGGTGTGCTATTCAGCAGCAGGGAGAGAGGAGGGGAGAGAGAGAGACTGCAGGTGGACTAAAAGGGTGAGGACAGCTTCCTGCAGCTCCAAAGAGTGTGAGAGTTATGGGGCCGTGTTTTGCAGGGTGCAGTGGAGTGGGGGGGAGCTGCTAGAATGCAGGGTCAGGAGGTCATCAACATACTCCATAACTCCTTAACAATATATTCTTTTCAGAAAATGTATTAGTTGTCTCTGGATGGATTTTAATTGGAAGGATGTCAGCAACATTTACACAGAACTATCAAAGTAAAAGAAGACACTACACTTTATTTAGTGTGGTCAATTAAATGCACTTACTTGGCAGCTGGTTTATGACTTTGCGCTTGTATGTAAGTAACAGGAACATACCCTTCGTCCCTGCATAGAAGATGCAAAAAACAATGTAAATTAATTGTGCACTTTATAAGTAAAATAATAGGCTGTGTGATGCAAGCATGTTTTGTTTTTAGTTCTGTATTTTCTACAATCATGACTAAGTGGTATACCCGAATCCAGATCACTGATACAAATTAGAAAGAGCAGTGGACCTAACTTTTACCCCTGTGTTATTCCACTAATCACATCACCCCAAGATAAGAATTTACATTTATCTGTATCCTTTGGTTCCTGTCCATCAAGTTGGTAGGTTAAAGCGTAGTTTTGTTTACCACATGTTTCATTGAATTAGCATAATAAAAAGAAGTGTATGGAACTACAGATATGAAACCTCTCTGGACTCTTCGTGGGACCTTAAAAGACATGGTTCTGAAATGTCGGATCTTATTATATGTTTTGAAAAGGAAGTCATTAAGTATAAATTATGTGTTTTCTGCTATAAGTCTCATTAATAGAAATGTGATGCTTAAGCATTACTATTGTGGAAAGATTTAGATGTGGGCAAGGTATACACTTATACTGACACAAAAGGTAAGCTGTAACTCATAAGGAAGTGTACTTGCATGTCTCCTGCTTCAGTACACCCAGTAGTTTACTTTAATGAAGCTGCTGATCTAAGTTCTCAGGACCTCTGCATACAATACATGCACAACTACCACACTGAAAGAAAACAATCTGCTTGGTGATATACCGTTTATGCTTGGAATACTATTTCTGATAAAAATAATTACTTTTCAGTAATTAGATTATGAAAAGAACATAAGGAACATTATAAACAAAAAGACATGAAAGCGATCTTGAGTTCTCACCCAGTCTACATGTACAAATGATTGCTCACCTGTAGCACACCTGAGACACTATAACCTGCAGAAATCTGTGGATAAGAAGAAGTCTATATCTGTTTCACCATTCATACTTTATCAAGTTCCAGTTTTATTGACTTCTATAGAATCTTGAATTAACTAACATGGTTCTGTGTCATGTATGGATTGCACCTATGGAAACTAAGGATTAGCTTAATTTTAAATAAGCTCTGATAAATGTGAGACATTGAGGAAAATGAAAACATTTTGTTTCTTTTTTTCCAGGTAAATGAATATTTGCCCACAAATATACTTGCATTGGCTGGTTTACTTTGTTGTTGACGAATGTTACACATCAGGATGTTCAAAAATCATAGCACTTCAAAAAAAATGCGAGAACAAAAAGAAAAAGAGAAGCATGACATTACCCAAAATCCCAACATTGCCAAATTTGTATTTTACATCTGATCTTTTAGTTTTGCCGTGGAAACAGGCTAATTATTGCAAACCTATTGTGTTTTACTGGCAGCTCCACAGTCTCGTTCTGAAACTTGGATTTCAATTACTTCAATTATTACATGTCTTGGAAAAAGCAGCTATTTCCCACCCATCACTTCCAATGAACTTCTCCATCTTTCTCCATACACTATATCTCTATAGCTACTCACAGGAGAAACACAAAAGGTGTATAGTTATTGATGTAGGAATACAGAAAAGCAATAATAATGTCTTACCCATTCATGTCCTTAACTTTCCACCACTCTGAATTTTCTTCCTCTAAAACGTAATACTTCGCCCCTTTGACGAGGCTGAGCTCACAACTCCTCATGCCTTGGTAATGGTGCAGGGCCACCACAACTTTCTGTGGCTCCTTCCTTCTCTCTGGAATAGGTGGCAAAGTAGTTCTTTCCCGGCACTTTAAATTGAGACAAGAATAATAAATACATGTTTGTCAGAGACAAACTGTAAAAGGTGAATGAAAATGTAAGATACATTTAAATTAATAAAAGAAGCAAAATAATTGAACTAAGTATTAAGTAAAACTAGTATTTGCTTTTCTGTGCACTTTTCTGTCCACTGCAATGCAGACTCTTCAGTGAAAATGATCCCACATCTGCGGTAATGGATTGGGGCATTACTGAAGTGGCAGACAAGTTGCTGACAGAATGCAAACGTACTGCAGATGACTGTAGGTAACAGTGAGGTTCAATGCACATTAATGCAATCATTTATGTTAAAACATTCAAACATCTGTTGTGACTGTCTTTGAATGTTTGGATCCATAATTATCTTCTGTTGTTTTGCCTTTTGTATGGTCGACCGTTTTGAAAAGGTTATACACTTACTGACCTCTACATAGATGGAAAATCACCTGTTCATCAGCTGGAACTAGAGATGGGGCTTAGAGTATTTAAACCTGGCCTGTGTGACGGAACAAGTCAATGTGTTGGGGTTCTGCTTCAGAAAGGGTGGTAACCTTGTCTGTGTGCTGTTCTACAGCTTGGTTTTCTTGTATTCAGACTTGTATTGAACTGTTAGCAGTGACTCTGCTGGAAACTATAGATTTGCCTATTTTAGTTACTGATTCTTTTCTGTGACTGATTTGTCTTTTTTGAATTAATTACATGGATTTTGTTTGGCACTTGATTTCTGGGAATATGCTTATTTCTATGATGCCAATGACACCCTTCAAGTAAAAACAGGGTGTTTTGTCACTATAATGCAATTTCAATTGTGTTTAACACCAGTTTACCCATACAAGTGTCAAATACTGGACTAAAAGCAGGTTAATTGCTATTAAAAATAAATAGCATAATATATACATTAATAATGGTTTGAAACAGCCATTTCACAGTGTACCTGTGCAGGGATGGTGGGAAGGTGTTTGTTTAATGAAGGTACCCATGTCTCCCTTTTTCCTGCTATAAAATGGAAAATAAAAATAAATAAATGTACATATACAGTATATAAAGATACATATATAATCTCCATAACACAGACATGTATATTTTGAGTGTCAAAACAAATGTGTCACTCTATTCATTTAAATATCTAGAAAAATAAAGCATACTGATATCACCTAAAAGTTCTGGTGTCATTTTGATTCATTGATTTTTTGGCACTGACCATGAGTGACTCTGACTGTTGCATATAAGTGCTAAGTTACATCTTAGAGAAAGAAAGGAAAACACAGAAAGGAATCAATGTGCTCAACTTATCAATAAAATACCCCTTTATGCCATCTACATGCTGGAGGCTGGACTCTGCGGTGAGTCTGTGGGTTAATAGGTATCAGCAGGTGATAGCCTGGCTCAGAGAGTCTCCACACTCCACATGACTCCACTGTGGGTGACTGGCTGATGGTAACTTGACTGCAAGGCACTAAGTCCTGGAATCTCACTTGTTGCCCTTCCTGTGATCTCATCCTGATGTGGCACAGGGCTAAGCACATGCTCATGCAGCTTGTGTAAGACAGGCTTCCTTATAAGTTGGGCATGTGACAATTCGCCCCATTGACTATTGTGGGATGAGCTGGGAAGACATGTGTCATCTAGGGCTCAGAGACCAGTGCACGGCTACAAGCCCATCCAGACTTTATGAGAATGGGAGAATACTGTAGTATCTGCATGAGCGCATCAATATTTAACCATATTGGAATCAATGGTTTTGAACTGTACTACAAATTGTGAATACTGCCTATATCACAGCTTGAAAGACACAAATCAGTTCAGTATGAGAAGCAGTTAAATAAAATATGATTCCATAACACAAAAATAGGCCATCAATAAAAGATAAAAGACACCCCTTGCCTATTTTATAATACAGTGCACATCATCCCAAAAAAGGTTTAGTCATTTTCCTCATAACTGTTACTGAAGTTGATTTGTTCCAATTACACTGGAACAAATTTCATTTGGGCAAATTTCTTTTGATGCTCAGTATATTATACAGTACAATTGTTCAATTCATTCTTTTTGGCAAAGTTTGCTCTGAGAGAACTTTCTTCCAGGATGTTTTGGGTTGTCATACTGTACTGTTTTACTGTACTTGAACCTGTTAACCTCCACTTACAAGAAGGTGACATCTGGATAAAGCTGCATGAGGACAGCAGCAGAATCAAAATGAAAATTTGTCCAGGGGATACAGTAACTCCACAGCTTCTTATAGCCATATAAGAAATGTATATACTGTATCATTCAGAAAAGTCAAGTCTGTAGATTAATGAGAATGTGATGAATACCTAGTTATATTTGCATTAAACTGAATAAATGTAATTAAAACTTTCAGATATACCTGACATTGGCAATGCCTTTGAGAATTACAGTACAGTGACATTTTACAAAGCAATAGTAAATGGCAATAAAAAAGTTGTGTGTATTGGGAAAAAACAAACCAGAATGGTTATGGAGAAATAAATATGATTCTTAACAGGAAACTGCTTTTGTGCACTCAAGGACATCAGTTAATGTGTGTTACCTGTATTGACTTTTATACATAAGCGATAAAAAAGGTACAGAAAATAATTACAACTTGAGGAAGCAAAGAAAGACATCTAACAAAAGTTGAGAAAATATCACAAATAGATTAAATCAGAAACAAATGAGTTAGACCAGAGACACAAGTATGAGATCACTGCACGCATAAAGAGATTGTAGTATTGATACAAAGCAAGCACAAGAGATTGTCATGGGACAAGAAACCTTGAGAAAGAATGTTAAATAAAGACAGGAGAAGAGAAGAGATTGAAGAAGAATCTTGTTCTTTTATCACTGACTCAAAAAAGGCTCAGGAAGAAATTAATTCAAGATAAATGAATAAAAAAGTTAAAAAAATAACTATCAAACTGATCTTGTTCTGTTTTTTGTAGCCTTGTATTGACATTTATTTAAACTAATAATTCTGTTTATTTCCTTCTTGATTTAATAAACTGGAAATACACTAAAAGAGAAGACTTGCAATTTACTTTTTTTATTGGTAACAGTATATTAATGCGCAGGCTAGTGCCATCTAGTGACAACTAGTGGCATTAAACTATTAACAACGTAATCACTAACTTTGAAGGACAAAACTTTTTAGAGTTAGAAAGAACAGAAAACCTATGTTAATAACATACAAATAAACTAAACTAAACTAAACTACATTGCATTTTTGTTATTTCAGCAACTAATGACCTTGGGGTAATTTGAGAACTTCCTTGAAAAACCATTGGAGCATAATCTATTATTCCTGTCCTAAATGAAGAATTTATCATTTAAATATTTTATAAAAATAAAAAAGAACAGTTTAGGTTACGAAGTGTGTTTTATAGACAACATCAGACAAATGAACAATAGATATATAAAACACTACATTACATGAGTCCCAGAGAGTGCATCCAGGGGCATTTTTCGAAGCCTGCTTACAGCAAAGAAATTTCCCATCTGCCCAGAACCCACTGTGGTATTTCATCAAAAGGTTTGAATTGCTCTTGATTACTGGAAAATACAGTATAATGAACTGTGATTGTCAGCTTGTT